GGAGGGCAGGGTGGGCCCAGGCAGGGCCCAGGTGCTGGAGCAGGGGCTGCTCCAGGAAGTCAGCCTCCTTGCCAATGGGGCCCTGTCCCTGGCAAGACCTCCACCCAGCAGTGCCCGAGGTGCACAAGGCTACATGCCCAGCTGTGGCACAACTTGGCTTCATCTGGGGGGCAGGCCTCCCACTGGCCTTTCCTGTGGGAGGTCCTCATGCTCTGGATGCACAGCCAACGTCCACCAGATCCCTCCGGGTGGGCCTGGGCTAGAACCCCACGGAGCAGTCAGGAGACTGCTGACTGCTGCATTCTGGGTCCAGCCATCACCGCTAGCAGAGCCCATGGGGTGTGGGAATGCGGGTGTTCCTCCATCCTGGCCAGTGAAGGCCTGTGCCAGGGAGACCCTTCTCGTGACACCAGATGCCTCCCCTGGAAGCCCCCCACCTGGGCCTTAGCTGTCACCTGGCTATTGGCCCTGGGGGCCTGTGATCCTGGTGGAGACCAGGGGCTTCATGTCAAGGCCCACCCCACCTGTTTCCTGGCAGAGAGGATGAGCCCCCTCCACCTTGAAGCTCTCAGTGCTGAGATCAGGTGGCTCCTCCCCCATCCCCAATCTGCTAAGAAGCCATGTGACAGTGGCCACCTCCCACTGCACTCCAGGACACACAGGGCTCCCACCCTGCCACTTCCTGTGGCTCTAGAGCACTGACCTGCTAAACTGCTAACTGATTTACTTACTGTAGTCACTGCCTGTTGAGCCCCACTGACTATAAACTCTAAGGAGAGGACTTTATGACCCTGTCCCCAGTGCCTAGGACATGGCAGGGGAGCCATCAAAATGATGGGGTGGAGGAGAAAGAGCCATCTGGGGGCCTACTCCATAGCCCTCTGGGAGGAAAACATGTGGACACATTGCGGAGGGGGGTCCCTGTGGGCTCCTTCTGCCAAGGAGGCCGCATGTGGCATCTGGTTTGAACAGGCCACAACATGGACTCCTGCCCAGAGAGTCACCAAGGTCCACAGCCATCTTTGTAAAAACCTGAGCTGGTCTCTTGATCTTCGCTGAGTGGCTTCTGATGGCCCAGAGGTCTGGGGAGCCTTGCAGCACCAGGCTCCGGGGGCCGTCCTGGCCCCCGCCCTGCAGCGGCACATGCCAGTTTCTCTTAAGAATGTCCTGGAGAAGGCAGCACTAGGTCTTGGCCTTTGAGGTTCTGTGTGACCAAGCAGAAAGTGTCGTGAAGAGCCAGTGAGAGTGGGTGGAGGTGAGCGTGTGCGTAGCAGTGGGGGCTGCCTGCCAGGAGCAGGTCCCACAGACACAATGGGATCCCACAGACGCAAGTGGCAGACTGGGTATTCTGCCATGGGCATCTGGCAGATACCGTCTTGAAAATCGGCCTGTCCCCCAAGGGAGACAACTGGCAGCATTTACCAGTGACGAAATCTAAACTTTCATGCAAAAATCAGAATCCTGAAAAACTTGTCCCCACCAGGAGCTTGGAACTTCCCTACTTGCAGGCTTCTCTGCGGGGACCCATGGTAACATCAGCAAACGTGATTGATGCTGCTGGGTGAATTGTGTTGGTGCCAGGAAGATGCCCGTCGCAGTGAGTCACAAAGCCACAGTGGCAGTCACTGAAGGGCGGGTAGCAGGCAGATCATAAGGACGCACGCAGAAGGCAGGTGGTGGTGGTGGCTGCAGAGGCCTCGCCTGCATGTGAAGAACCACACTCCTGAGTTTCGCCTCAGCCTCTGCACCCAGTTCTGTCTTCTCTGGTTCTTTCCCCAGACACTGGTTTCTGAGTCACTCCACACTCAGCCCAACAGTGCCCACAGCAGGTGGTGCAGGTGGCCCAGGTGGCTTCCCTGAAGATCAGTGCCACTCTCTCTTCTCACCAAAACCTTCTTATTTGGGAAAATATATTTTTCACAGAATTGTTACCAGTGTAACATCATGGTTCATTGTTATCTTGAAATGAATAAATGTCTTTCAAATATCTAGTCTAATTTGTAATAGTCTACTAACAGGCATCCACCTTGGTAGTTGGAACCCCCAGGCAAAGTCCTTTGGTGTCTCTGATCATTTTTCAAGTTGCGAGGGGTAAAGGTTGGAGTCACGCAGCGGATTCAGCAGTGGAGCTGCTGGGCGGAGACTGCCACTTCTTGTTCCTCCCAGTCCTCCACATGCCCAGGCCCAGCCAAGCTCTGAGCAGGCCATGTGCTCCTGGGGTCTCAGTTTGCAGGTCTGCAGTCCTCAGGAGGCCGAGCATGTCTTCACACAGAGCTTGTTCTCTAACCTCGGGCCCCCTTCTTTTTTCATATGAATTTAAACATGATTTCATCCATTTCACAACAACAGTGTGGTTGAGCACGCAGCTGGAATTGCATCAGTGACATGACGCCGCGTGCAGAGCTGGGCCCTGGGTAGCCACACGGTCCTGTGCGCTGCTGGTCAGGCTCACTCCCAGGTGTCTCCTGCTTTGAGTCACAACTCCGAATGGAACACATCTTCTCCTTTTCAATAGGCTTAAGCTGGTTTAAAGAGCTTTTGATCTTTGGTATTTTTAGTTTTCTGGGTCTACAAAAATATCATATGAAAATAAAGGTGATTTTCACTTCATTCCATCTCTCATTCTGCTTATTTTGTTTACTTATCTTCATGCATTTGCTGTAAATGTCACAGCAACATAAATAACAAAGGTGGGAGTGAAGATGTCTGCCGAGTTCCTGATTTGAGTTTCAGTGCCGACATGCTGGGATGCTGGATCTTATTAAACATTGTACCATTCGCTGACAGACTTCTCCTCAGTGGACCAACAACCAAAGAAGACTGAGAAGTGTCACGGGCACACTGTGGAAGGCACAGCTCTGGGTGCAGGACAGTCAAGTCCTACAAGGACTTCAAGGACTCTACTCCAGCTTGGGAAGGGGCAGCACCTGGTGCAACTGAGCAGGAGCCCCAGACTCTGCTCAGACAGCAGAAGAAGGATGCAGAGACTCCTTCTGAACATAAGCTCAAGGATGTCAATCTAGTCCTGGAACCAGCCCTGCAGGGACTGAAGCAGCAGTGTGTGGTGGCCACGTGGAGGAGTCTCAAGTATAACAGAGAAGCTTGATCAGCCACCTCTTGCAGGAGCGTCTGGGCTTGGCCACCCTGTAGGGCCACAGGAGATGGGGGTGTGGTCTCAGCACCCTCCCTGGCTCTGTTCTCTCTTGAAGGATTGAAGCTGCTCTTCCTCTAGTGAGAATCAGAACAATGGCCAGTCCATGGGAGCTGCTGGCCTGCGTCAGTGGTCAGCAGCTGGAGGGCAAGCAGGTGTACATGGGCAGGTCACTAGGTGTCCATGGGGAAGTCCCCAGCACCAAGGGCTATATAAGCACTGAGCATGTCTATTTCATGAATTCTTAGAGTGTGTCTTGCAGGTGGACCTGAGCTACCAATGAGCCAGGGCAGGCTCCCAAGTTCAGGTCTCCAACAGACATCTCCAATCTCCTGTCCTCTAGAGCCCCCTCTCTGCTTCACAGGAAATAGTTGGAGCTGCTTGTGCTGCATGAGCCAACTGCATGCACCACTCCCTGGCTAGAGAGGCAGCGGAACCACATTCGCAGCTGGAAAATGACTCTGATGGGGATATTTACACTACAGATCATCAGCAAGTGCTGCACTGCCCCAGGACAGGGTTGGCGGGGCGCTCCCTGAGTCCACAGCAAAGGGGCCCAGGAAACTGCTCATCTACTCAGCACCCATGCCACCTCCCCCAGTTGGCCTGGGCTGACCTCTGTACCGCCTGACCACCGGCTGGTCCCACACTCCCTTGCCTGGCTGACTTCCAGGTTCAGGGAGGGTCAGGAAAGCGGGTGGTCTCACACCAGGATGACAGTGGCAGACCCTGGCAGAGCCCGCCTCCACCCCTCTCCCCAGGAATCTGCTCACCAGCAACCAGAAAGGCCTTTTTCTTGGTACTGAAAGTTGAACCCAGGGGCACTCTAACTCTGAGCTACATCTGAGCCCTTTTTATTTTGAGACAGGGTCTCACCAATTGCTGAGATTGTCCTCAAACTTGTGATACTGCTGCCTCAGATTCCCAATTTGCTGGGATCACTGGCATGTGTTACTGCACCCAGACAAAGAGCACTTTTCCAAACCACAAGGCAAATCCTGTCACTTTCCTGCTGACCCACCACACAGAACCCTGTCCCGTCTGGGAAGGACCAGGAAGCAATCTGCCTAGTTCCAGGGGATAAACCAAACAGGCCTGGTCCCAGACTCCCATGCAGCCATGATGACCAAAGCCAAATCCTAGTAAATGACACAGGTGAATTCAGCCAAGGGTTTCTAGAAAGAACTGCTCAACTGGTGCAAGGCCAGAGGCAGGGCAGCAAGCTGGCCACTGGGGCTGCCTTGGCCCCAAGCCCCCCAGCACTGCAGAGGTCAGATCCACAGCTGTAGCAGCTGGCAACTCAGAATGCGCTTGAAAAACACCAGCAGTGCACCAGCAGGCACACAACCAAGTGGCCCAGCTGCAGGTGGCCTGCCTCTGTCTGCCTGGGGCTTGCTCTGGCCACCCCCCACCTCTGGGTTCTTGCACTGGCTCTTTGCTACGCGGACTGTCCTCCAGCACCAGGTCCTGGCTCCTCACCTGGCCGACCTCCCCTGCAGCACTGGCCAGTCTGTAGCTGCTCCTCTGTTGACTATAGTGGGAGTGTCTTACCAGGCGACCTCCAGGGTCCAGAAGAGCAGCCTGTTCCTCGTATTGGTGTTGTTGCCAAGGAGGTGGCCATGACATCTGGCCACCGAGGGCAGCGCAGCCCTGTGCATCTGCCTTGGGGTCAGAGATACCTCAGGGCAGATGCAGCAGGTCCAGGGAGGGAGACACCCTTCCCTCACCCTTCAGGAGAGCGCGCATGGGCACCAGCCCACCCTGACCTATCTCCACTTGCTTTCCTTTGCAGGACAGATCAACCTGGTGTGGCCCTTCCAAGCCAGAGAAAGTGAGCTCTGCTTCCAGGCAATAGTGAAAAGTACACATTTAATATCAAAAGCCATTTCAGGTATCATCGATAAGACTACCGTGGAGGGTGGGTTCTAGACACTCTTACTAGGAGTGACCTGAGAGTCCCTGGTCTTGTCCAAGGAAGGACATTAATGCTGGAGACAGATAGGGGTCTCATGGTTGCCCAGGGCCCATGGGGTCCTCATCAGGGACGTCCCTACCAGGGGCAGCCCCTGGAGGCCGAGTGGAAGCCTGTCCCCTCCGCAGGACCCTGCTGCCCGGCTGCGGCCTGGCGGTTGCAAGCGGCCTAGCCACTGGACTTGGCGATGATCTTCTCCAGCAGGCTCATCATGCGCTCCTGCAGCTGCAGGCTCTGCACCTGTAGGATGTTCTGCTGGTCCAGCACGCGCCGCACCTCGCGGCAGGTCTCCTCCATGGCGCGGCTCAGCCTGCGCTGCTCCTCCAACATGGCCTCCAGCAGCCGCAGCTTCTTCTTCTGCAGGTGGCAGCTCTGCACCTTGCGCTTCTTCACGGGCCGCTCCTCTGACCTGCAAGGAGTGCTGCTGTGGGCCTCTGGCCAGAGACCCATGCCCACCCTGAAGGACAAGTAGGGTCTCCCAGGCCCTAGAAGCAGAGCCCCTGCTCAGGCCCACAAGCCCACACATGTGAGGAGGGGCTGGAGCCCACCCACCACGACAGTGGGTTGGTAATGGGGTCAGAGGCACCCGGGCCTGGGAACCAGCAGGCAACCCATGATGGTCCACAGCCGAGGTCTGGGGAAGGTGGGTGCTCTGGGCTGTAAAGGGCACACGGCCATGAAAGCACCAAGCCCTCTGAGCTGGGCAGGCAGGAGGCCCAGCCCCAGGGAGAGATGGAGGCTGAGTGTGTGGGGGTGCTGGGAAGTATGTGGCCTCCGTGCTCCTATAGGGAAGCTGGACACTATCAGGCCCAGCTGGCCATGCACAGGTGGGAAACGGGTCCTAGAAGGAAGGGCCTGAGGCTGGAGACCCCTCCCACTCCCAGCAGCATGGAGAGGGGACCAGCATGCTGAGGGAGACAGGAGGACAGACAGCTGCAGAGGGTAGAGGCAGCCCCAGGCAGTCTAGCCTGTGGCTGTCCCACGGTGCTCTGTTGTCAGGGTGGCGGGCATTGCTGGTTAACAGCCTCGCTGGAGAGCAAGGACTGCCAAGCCCCACAGACCCCAAGGCCCTGCCCTGGTGCCTACATGTCCCCAGCCTGTATGCTGTGTTCTAAGCAGAGTGGGTGACCAGCCAGCCTTGGGGATGGGAGAGTGGGGCCCCATCCCACCCGGCGTGGTGCCCCGGGCAGCCGAGTCTGGGAACTAGGCTCAATAATCCATGGGAACAATTGGCCATAAATCTCAGGCCTCGTGTTAATTGGGTCTGGCTGCAGAAAGGCGTTTTTGTCTGGGATCTTCAATGAGAAGTTCCCTCCAGGGAGGGCACTGGGTGAACTGAGTAGAGCGCCCAGCACTGGGGATGCTGGCCGAAGGGACCCTCCTCAGAGATGACTTCCTTGCCCTATCTGCCATCAGACAGACTTGATGAGCAGGGTACAGGGAGAGACTGACTCAAGGCCACATCTTCCTACTCTCATCAACCGATCAGCTTCTACTATACCTTGGAAGCCCGTCCTAAATGTCCCCTTCTCATAAGTGGCTGCTTTGGGCTCCCTGGCCTGTCCTCCACAGGGACCTCTCCTGGACACAGCCTGGCTGCCAGTGTCTGTGAGCACCCTGCGGGCATGGTCTTGTGGCTTACGCCTTCCTGTGTTAAGTGCTGGTGCGGAGGGGGCAGGGCCCGCCCACCGCCCTGGAGGCTCAGCCCTACCTTCTCAGGTGCCTGCAGGGCCAAGGGTGGGGACCAGGGTGGGCAGGGCGAGCACAGTGGGGCCAGCTTGTCCTCTCCCATGCTCCTGGCAGCCCTCTGAGGAAAACACGGAATTATCCCCATTTTACAGAGGGAGGCTGAGGCCAGAGAGGTCAAGGAACTTGCATCAGCTCCAGTGACGGAGCCGGGCACGGAGCCGCCTGCCTGCCGACACTACGGCCCTGCTGGCCGGGGCTGGCCTGGCCTGGCCTGGCCTGGAGGCAGGCACACACTGTGACTTTGGCTGAGGATACCACACCAGGAGAACGGGCGCCCTCGCCATTCCCAGCCCCTTGCTCTGCCCAGCTGGCCTCCTGGTGCTGCCTGGGGGATGGGCAGAGGCGGGGCGGCGAGGCACCTGGTCAGAGAAGGAAGAGGGGACACACTACCTGAACTTAAGGGACAGTAAGCTGGAGGAGCTGTCGGAGCCATCGTCCTCGAAGCGGCCTTCGTAGGAGCACTGGGTATACGGTAAGTACAGAGGGGTGGACTTAGCGGACGGCGACAGAGACGCCTCGGTCTGGGACGTGGAGGGCCCCGGCTGCTGGCCGTCTGGTAGTTTGCCCTCACAGGACTCAGGGACTTTGGCCAGAATCCTATCAATGGCTAGGTAATAGGGCCAGTCCGGCGGGACGGACTCGCTATCTGTCATGCATTTTAATTTCCTGCAACGAGAGACAAGAGCCAAGGTGAGAAGCAGCTGGTCCCAGCCAGCCCGCCTGGTCCCTGGCGGGGGCACAGGGCTCCAGGACCCCAGGGAGAGCCATGCTGGGTCAGGCAGGAGCCACTCTTGACCAGTGCGGTCCTCCCCAGCAAAATCAGCCAGGCCCCAGGGTGCAGGTAATACTGGACTAGGAAGAAGCGAGCTTTGGGACCTGCTTTAGATGTGAAGAGGGAAGCACACACCCTTCCATGAGCAAGGGCGTCCACAGAGGCTGGGAACTTGGGCTAGGTCCTGTTTCTCTTTGCTTTTCTGTAGTTTATAATGGCAATGAACCCACAGTACTTCTTATATGCTTTAGTCAGAAATAATAAAAGATCATAATAAGCTGTATAGTTCAAATACAGTCATAAGGTTTCATAGCGCCACAGTTTTCTGACCTCAGGGAGAGAGGACCATGGGAGCACAGGCATCCACAGCTCTGAGTCCATATCCTGTCCCCACCGCTGCTATGTGAACTTGGACAGGTTCATTAACCTCTCTGAGCCTCCAGTTTTGTATCAGTAAAATGGGGATAAAGGAGTAAGCCCCTCAAGGCTGAAAGGAGGATTTAAGAAAGCCATGCCTGGTGCCTGGCACACAGGACTCTAGCATCACTCTTGCTGAACCTAGCAGGAGGTCATGCTGCGCCCTAAGCCCAGCTGCTGCCTGTACAGCAGCCTGGGTCCAGCTCTGGAATCTGCAGCCTGACCTGAGGCAGTGGGGCAGGGCCCCTGGGCTGAGGGTCTTCACAGTGAGGCTCTGATCACCTGAGAGGCCCTGCAAGCCCCTGGATCGCAGCCTTCTGCTGGGAGGTGAGGGCTGGGAGACGGGGCCTCAGGGCGGCTGGGCAGCTCTGGCCAGGCCAAGGAAGTTGCCACAGGGTGGAGTGGGTGGGGGAAGCTCTGCCCACCAGGTCCAGCACCTCCTAAGGCCCAGGGTTCCCCACGTGTTTGCTAACCTCATCTGACCCTCGAGCCTGGTGTCACAAGTGCCCTCCCTGAAGCCAGGGCCCACACCTGCAAAGGGGCATGCCTCCGTTTCCCCACACGAGGCTGTCCGCCAGGGTGTGGCCTCTGCTGACCCTGGGCACTGGAGATGATGGTCTGGCCGAATGAGTCACACCCAACAAATGGGCACAGAGAAGGGCTGCTGATCAGGGTACAGGCACCAGCCAGCTGTAGCAGGAGGCTCCCCAAGGCCCAGGCTCCCTCCACCAAGTGGAATAGTCTCTGTGGAAAGCCAGGGACAGATCACAGGAAGGCCAGGCTGGCCTGTGTTCCTGCCCCCCATCTACCCTGGGGGCATTGGGAAGGCAAGGCTTACATCTGGTGCCCACATAGGCCTCTGCCCAGTCTCCTCCAGAAAAGCCTGCCCTCAGCATGGGCGGTCCCAAATGGTATTCCGACAAATCACGCTCCACAAAACTCGGCCACCTTCTCCAGCTTCCTTAGCCTGACAACTTAATATGTAAAGAGCTCTTATTAAAAAAAAAGTCTCTGTTTGGGGAGGCTGGGAGTGGGTAGATGAGATCTAGTCACCCAGCCAAAGCTTTGGCCAATTAAGGGCTATTGTCAAGACCCTCTCCTGCTGTGGGCCTCAGTTTCCTCAGGAGCAGCCAAGGGAGAGGTGTGCGTGTGCTTCTGAAACTACGAAGGCCGAGCACCCATAGCCCTGCACAGGGAGTCCGAGGGAGGCTTTCAGGATAAATAATGAAGAGCCCAGCCAGACGCTGACTGGGGGAGGCCAGGGACATTGCTCCTGAAGAACTGAGTCAGAGGGAGTCTGGGGAGATAGCCAGCATGGCCGCCCACCACCTTCAGAGTCCCTGTCTCACCAGGCATGCGAAGGGGCACTGTGGGGACCAGGAAGGCCAGGCAGGCCAGACTACGAGTTGCCGTCCCATGCCTGTACCAGCAGTCACCAGACTTCCTCACATCCTGGGCCCAGGGCTCAGGTTTGACATCACCTGTGCTAGGTGACTCTGATGTCAAAGACCCCAAGCAGCTGCAGGACTGTGGTTTTGGCTCCCAGGCCTGGTCAGGGACCAGGTCAGAAACAGGCCTGGGACAGGGACAGGCTCCAGACGGTCTCCTTCTGGGGCCATGGAAGCAGAGCTGGAAACAGAGCCTCATGGCCTTTGATCCATGACCCTAATGGCTCTTCCACAGCTCCCAGGGCAGCCAGGGGCCATGGGACAGGGATGGGGCTCTCCTCCAGCCTTGGTGGAGGCATCTCCCCACCCGCAAGCGGGAGGTGGGACTTCTCTCTCGCATGCAGTGTGGCTAAGGTGCTCCCAGGCCAACCCGCAGGGTGCCCTCTGTCTCCAGCACCCTGGCCAGCGGAGCTCACCTGCCTGCCATCCCCAGAACCTTGCGAGCCTCCTACTAGACAGCGCCCCTACCTGGGATACAGCAGGCTCTTGGGCAGCCCCAGCCTCAAACTGCATAGACACAGCTCCTGCTGTGACCTGTGCCCCTTGTTCTCACCTCCTCAAGCCCTGACCTTCACCCCATGCTGTGACTTTTACCCCACACAAAACCTCCTCATGCCCACCCATGACTCTCTAGATGGGCCAGGCCTCATGCACTGTGAGGTCTGTGGCATGGGGCCACAACTGCTCCCTCTTAGATGCCAGAGCCACCCCAGGCCTAGGAGCCATCTTTGGTCCCCACCTGCAGTCCCCTCTAAGGTCCCCTCCAACTACCAGCCAGGGACAGTCAGCCTGGGATGTGACAGTGGCAGAGATGGGGACCAGGCCTGGAGACTCCCAGTCAGGGAGTTCAGGAGTCAGGGCTGGGCTCGACTTCTTCTACAAGTGAAGCCCTGTCCGTGAACTGAGCACTGTCTGGGCACTCTGGGGTTTTCCACATCAGATCCAAATGCCGTTCTTCCCACCCTGAGGCTAGCTCTGTGCTGGACACACAGCAGGGGCTCGCTGATGCTGAAAGTCCCTGAGCATCAGGATGGGACAGGCCCAGGAGCTGAGCCTCCTCACTCTGGCCTCTGTTTCCCTGCTGGGCTTGGGGGCTGTGGAGGGGTGGTTCAAGCCTGGCTGACAGCTTGTCGACACTGGCCAGGGTGAGAGGGGGTTGGTCAGGTGGGTGATGCCTGCACGAGGTGTCCACCTCTGAGGCATGGTGGGGCAGTGAGCAGGTCCAACGTGTGTCCCTGGAGCTGCGGCCCAGCACCAAGCCCAGACTCAGGAAGCTGAAAGCACTCCCAGCCCAGCCACCCTGAGATTCCCTGACCAGCTTTCTGCCCTTGCTGGGCCTCAGTTTTCCCATTTCCCAATGGGAGGTTGCACAGGTGGTTTCTGAAGGCCATCTCTTCCCACAGGGCCCAAGTGACAGGTAGGCCCCTGGCCAGGCCACATGTCCTCCCACCCCGAGGAGCCCACCTGTACTGGAAGGTCATGTTGGTGATCTTGATCTTGATCTCCTCGCCCAGCCTGCGCTCGCCGGTCATCTCGAAGAGCTTGCTGGCCATCTTCTCGTACACCTTGGCGTTGCGCTTGGTCTGCTTCAGCTCCTCGAAGAACTCCTCCCAGACGAGCATGAGGCCGCGCATCTCCGCGTCCGTCCAGTTGCGGGCCCTCCGGTGCTTCTCCGTCTGGGGAGACACAAGGTAGCCGGGCACTTCGGCTGCTGCCATGCTGGAGGCACCTGCGGGGAGGAGGATGGCGCTCAGGTGGGGCCCCAGGCCCGTCCCACACACCATGGGCGGGAGGCACCGCAGTCACTCGCTTGAGGCAGCTCCGCGCTCAAAATGGGGCCTACGTCTGACAGGCAGGAATTTAGTTAAAAGCTTTTAAACGGGAAACGTCATTTTGATGTCACGTTTCCATAGCAACAGAGCAACTGCATAAGCTACAACAACAGAAACCTTTTAACTGAAAGCGCAGGAATCGGGGCCGTGCTGACGGGCCATCAATATTGTAGCAAGCCAGCGGCCGGGCCCAAACCCAGCGGCCAGGCGGCCAGCCCTGCCTGCTTCTCGCCTGGCCCTTGGGCCATGCAGAGAGGGTTCCAGCCATGCTGGCCAGGTTCCCAAAGGCAAGGTCCAGGCAGCAGCCCCCACCTCAGCCCCACCTGGCTCATAGAGGCCAGGATGGGCCATGGGAAGACTGTCAAAATGGAGGCATGGTGGGGGAAGGAGAGGAGAGATAGGCAGACAGGGAGCCTGCGATCCCCAGTGCTGACTGACGAAGTGGCTGCTGGTGCTGGAGGTTCCTTGGCTGAGAGACCCTCACCCTTAGGAGGGCCCTGTCAGGTAGAAGTGAGGGGGGGGGGTCCCTGGTCTTGAGGACCAGCACTTCTCAAGAGACCCTGCCTCTCCTGTCATTTGCTCCTTGCTTCTCTTGCTCCACCCACCAAACACCCTGGGCCTCAGGTCACGTGGGCACTGGGAACCCAGGCTGGTCAGAGCCAAGCCCTGCCCTTAGTGCAGGTCAGGGGCACACGGACACTGACCGACTGACCTTTAGCATAGGCTGGTTTGAGGGCAGCACTGGATAGCGAAGGCAAGTCCTGTGCCGAGAGATGAGGAAGAGCCACTGGAAAAGCTGGAAACGTTCAGAGGACACTCACTGGAAAGAGCTGGGTGGGGCAAGGGCAGCAAGGCAGGGTGCAGCCTGGAGCGTGTCAATGGGCAGGGAGACTCAGAAGTTTCCAGATGGTGCAGTGTGGGAAGGCAGGGTCAGCCCGGGGAGTGGGCTTCTGTCCCTGTGGGGCTGAGTGACTGAAACGCCAGGAGGAGTGAGCAGGCCCCTCAGTCTCAGGAGCCAGGAGGCAGGGGTGGTGGAGCTGGGGGTCTGCAGAGGGGACGTGTCACCTCAGGGTGTCAGTGGCTGACATTCAGAAGGTAAAAACCAAACGAGACTCCATGGAACTCAAGGTCCCTCTGCTGGGCAGCCCACGGTGGACATGGTACCAGCCTGATTAGATGTCCACTGGCCCAGCGCACTGCTGCTGGTCTTGTCCGGCCCCTGTGCCAAGGCTGAAAGAGCAGCAGAATGCTGACCAGGCAGGAGGGTTGAGCCTGGAGGAGGCACTGTCTGCACACAGGCAACCCCAGGAGGAGGGCAGCTGGGGTGCCTGACCCCACGGTTCTGCCCGGCATGGAGGCAGTACAGGATGCAGCCAGAAGGGAAGGGCCTGGGAGGGCAGCTGGGTGCCCTGTACTCCCTTCACAGTCCTCAGCCACTACCTGGCCTAGGCATCAGCTCTGGGGCCCAGCTGACCCCTTTCTCTCTGGGCCCTGGGTGTCATCTGGAGATCCAGGGACACTGTCTCTACCCGCTGGCTATGCAGTGCTCCCCAGGGAGGTTCACAACTGCTGCACTCCTCCCATAGGGGCACCCATGAGAGACCTCTAATCCCACTCTCTGCCACGTTCAGCCATACTGCTGGCCTGAAGGCTGGCTGCTGCCCCTAGTATCCAGCTCCCAGAGCTCTCAGGAGCACTGGCAGAGGGCCCAGAGGCCCACTCCTCCAGGCAGCGGCTCCTGCAGACACAGGGTCTGTCCCTTCTGAGGGGCTCCGCCCCCTGCCTTTTCCTAGTCTTTCTCCAAGGGCAGAGGTGGGGGCAGGAACTGCAGTCCAGGCAGACAGCTTTTGACTCCATTCCACGGACTCGCACGACCTTCCTTGACAACGTCCCTCAACCTGTCTCCTCATCTCTGTAGTGGGAAGGGCAGGACCTGGCTGGATGATTCTCAGTCACCCAGAAGGCCTCTGGTACAGCCCCTCCAAGCCCCTGAGGACAAGGGGCCCTGCTGCCATCTCCCTGCCCCTTCTGTGAATCTCCTCAGAGCTTCTGGAGAACACAGAACCTGGTATGCTGTCCTGATTGAGGGACAGCTGTTGGCCAACAGGTGTCACTGCTGTGCTCAGAGCCCAGCAGCCAGACTGCTCCAGAGAGGCAGCTACATCCTCGGCTTGCCCAAGTCCCAGTGGGCACAGGGTGGCAGAGCCACCCTAGCAGGAGCTACCCTATAGTTAACCATGCTTTAGGTGGCACCTTCAAGTGGTGAGGGTGGGCTTCACCCTCTCTTCTCAGACCTAGGGTGCATTGGAAACCCTGGACAGGGTGTTCTCTGGGGCTACTTCCGGAAGCAGCATCCTGGCCTGAACCCCCAAGGACAAGAATGAACTGGGCTGGTCAAGGCAGGTGGGCCAAGCCCCAGCTGTCCCTGCTAAGTGGCTCCATCTGTCTCCCGAGGGGAGGGGCTCCATACCTTGGCAGAGTTGCATGGCCCGCTGGGACTCTCAGTCACTGTGGGATCAGAGTCAGAGGGCCTAGGGCTAGGCACCCAGCAGCACCTGCAGGGGAGAGGGTGCAGGTCAAGCCTCAGCTGGAGCACCCCTAGGAGGCCGAGGCACAGGGTGTGGGTCCGCGCTGGTCCTGCTGTGCACAGGCAAGGCCCACCTCTCTGGTCTTCCTTCTACAGGAGGTGGCGGGGGCCCAGCCCCCAGGCACATTTCATTAGCATCTAGGGTACAGGTGCTGCTTAGCCTGGTGGGCTGAGGGAAGCCAGACCCACCCAGAGGAGCAGCAGGGCTTGTCCCAAGTGAAGCCCAGAGCAGGAAGTACATAACCCATGGGGAGAATCTGGAGGTTGAAGAATTCAGAACTTGGCAAAGGCCAGGAAGCACCAGGAGTGTGTGGGTGTGGTGGGGTACCTGAATGTAGTCCCTGGGGGGCAGATGGAAGGGCCGAGGCCACGGGGCCTTGAGCACTTGAGGAGCTCTAGGAAGGGAGGGAAGAGGTGAACCAACAGTGGCGGGTGGGAAGGGTCAGATCCCCCTCAGGTCTAGTCAGCCCCAGTAGCTCCTGGGGCCTGGCTGCCGATCCCAGGGTGGACGACACAGAGCCTGTGGGTCTGGCTCATGTCCTGGGCATTGCCACCTTTTCCTCATGCCAACGAGGAACACAGAACCATAACTTTTAGCCCTCTTCTGCACTCGACAGGCCCCTGCCCTGAACCAACAGCTCCACCAGGTACCCAAGGGTCAAATGCCCGTCTCCCAGGTGGGACTGAAAGCCCTGTCTCTGCTAGGCTGTGACAGGAAGGGAAGAGCAGGCTGTGAGGCTGAAGGTCTTGCAGACTTCAAAGAGCTGGGTCCCCTCTGTCCACAGGCCCCTGGACCATGGACCATGCTGCTTACAGGCTAGCCTCGGGGCCCCCACCACTGTGCTGCCCAAGTGGGGTTCCCTGTCCCGGTTTGGCTGTCACACCATTCCAAGGCAGGACCCAGCTACCCTGGCCACTTGGCTCATCCACTGGGCAGGGTTAGTAAGTCTCCCTCTTTGGGAGACGACTTCAGAGAGCTTTCTGGAACAAAGCCAGCTACAGCTGGAAATGGGTGCCACTGGAGGCAGAGAGGGCGGTCCCCAGGACTTCCAAGCCCTCAGAGCTCCCACAAGCAGATGGGCAGGGCATGCTGTGGTGAGGGAGAGAGGGTGGCTGCAGGTTCTCCTCTGCTTAGGTGGTACACACATGGGGGCTCCTGCTCAGCTCCATTGGTCTGGAAACACCAGCCATGCCAGGTATGCCAAGGACCTTCCTGTTTTCACCCAAACAATGGTGGTTCAGTGAGGAATAGGGTGCTTGGTTTCCCTGAAATGAGCAGAACTTAGCAAGTTTCAAAGGGTGAGGCCATCAGGGACCCTGGAGTTGTCACTGAGATTCAGGGCGTTGAAGTGACTCCAACTAACACTCAGTGCAACTGAGGGAAGAAACAGACTGGGTGGGGCCATCCATCATCAGGCCATCTGGCCGACGCTCACTACCCTGTGCTGAGAAAGGGGATTCCGCCTAGAACAAGCAGGTGCCGCCCGGTCCTGAGCTGAAAGGTCCTTGTGGTCTCTCCTGGAACCAACTGCAGGGCCTGCTCTGCGGAGGAACAGGGGGACGACGCCTGACAGCGAGCTGGAACCACACGGACCTTTAGTGAACACTAGTGCAACTAAACACCTTGCTCAGGGCAACCCTAACCCAAGATCTCACCACCACACTGACCACCAAGGCTCCAGAGGAGGTTCCAGCCAAGAAGGAAAGAGTCCCTGTAGAGCTAAGCAGAGACTTCCTGGGGAGGAGGTATTTCAAATGGGAAGGACTTACAAGCTAAAAAGGTTGGGAGGGGCACTGCAGACATGGTGGCCAAGCCAGGCCAGGGGAGAACAGCTGTGCTGGGGGACAGAAGGGTCCAGCTGGGACAGGACATCAGTGACCAAGGGGGCAAAAGGGTCAGTGAGGCCATGAGGGGACACCAAAGCCAAGGTTGTGTGAGGACACAGATCTTGCCACCCCTCTAGTGCACTGAAGCCAAATGTGGAGCAGAAACAGGGACACACCTGAGGTTCCTGCCCAACAAGCTCATGGTCCTACCCACTGCCAGAGCTTTAGCAGTCCACGTCTGCTAGGCAGGGAGCCGGTTGCACCAGGGCCTGCGGGTTCCGTCAGAGGCACCCATCACATGCGGACCTGGCTCCACAGTGTCTGCTGACTGCTGGGAGGCTGTCAGCACTGACCCCTGGAGAAGAGAGGGACAGTTTCCTCAACCCTGGAAAGCAAGTTCTCACTGAGCAAAGCAGGCCTCACACAGCAAATGTGAATGGTTTCATTGTTCCTTTAATTTGGATATACAATTTTTGCAGCAGTTTAAAAAATGTAAATATACATCTCACATCAGTCCTTCCTCTCGGCAGTGCACAGTCAGGTCTGGGCTGGGCTCCGGGACTGGCCCATCACTGCCCTGTTGGCCCAGCAGAGCCCACAACGTGAACAGCAGGCCCGATGGAGGCCCTAGACGGGAGACAAACCATTGCAGGCAGGTCCCTCCATCCAGCCTGGGGCAGAGGGAAGGGGCTCCCTGGACGGCATTAAAGCACGACAGGCACAAGGGGAAGATGGCCCTGAACCTTCCGCGTCGCGTCGCGTTCAGTTGTCACATGGCTCTCAGAGCAAGTCCTTCCTTCCCGGCAGCTCCAGGCCCAGTGTGGGACAGTCCTCTCTCACCTGTGCCAGCCCGCACCGCCCACCCAGCCTCAGCAACTCGAGGTCTTTTCTTTGCCCAGAGGGCAGATCTCAGTTCATCCAGGTTGGTGGCGATGGTCCCAGGCACCCAGCACAGAGGGAGGGAGGGACAAAGCCCAAGCGAGGATGCCATCTGATAGGAAGGATGCTCACAGCTAACAAGAGGAAATGAGTTCCACCCCCACAATCCCACCCACGAGCTCGGTCACTCCAGATCCCCTCACTGGGGGTGGGGGGCGCTGGGCCTCCTGGGCTACGGCTGGCGTGAACTAACTTATTGCTGAGACCCACCAGCCGAGCTCCAGGCAGGGCAGCCCCAGGTCATCTGGAGGAGCTCCCCGATGGCCAAGGGGCCCTTCAGGGGAGGAGCCTTCCCTGAGGCTACATTCCGCATCTGGAGGTGTTTCCACTCCAGTCTTTCCTCCTGAAGGGCACATGTGCAGGCCAAAAGGAGAGAACAATAAAGGGCCCTCGGCAGTTGGAAAGTCACCTCCGTATGGGGCCATCAGTGGAAGGGAGGCACATTTTTGGAGAAGAAAACATGCTTAAGTGCATTGCCAAATAATTCTACCCTGGTTTCATTAAAATCTTTCCTGATAGTACCAGCAGGAAAACAATAACCCACCCTCCCCTCAAAACCTTAACAATCAAAATGACACTTTCAACAACATCTGGAAAGCTGCAGACTAGGAGGAGCTTGATGAAGTGCAAGCCTTCTGCAGAGCTGACAGGGAGGGCGGCTTTCTGCAGTAGGGCTCGCCGAGGCCCACTCTGAGGGGCTGGAGCCACACCGCCGACTCCTCGGCAGGTCTTTAAGAAAGGTCCACCTCCAGGCAGAACGGACACCGCATTCTTGGAGGCCTTGCATATTTGTCTCGAAGTGTGTGTGTGTAAATAAAACTATGGGTCTGGACTTGTGCCTGTACCTGCGTACCTCTGCATGGGTGCGACAGCTTCTCTCATGGACTCCACGCACACACAGGAAGGTGTTTGGGTTGCATCGTCACCAGAGCTGGGTTTCAGATCACAGGGTAAACGTGGAGGTGGCCAACTAAACCTTGTAGAGCCCAGTAGTAAGAATCCCACGGGGGTGGCCCCAAATGTCACATTCACAGTGCTGCTTCTCACAAATGTAAACATGTAGCCAGGAGCAGTCTCCCTCCAGTGCTTCTGCACAAGCTGAACAGCCCGGGGGCGGGCAGAGCTTCCGTGATGGCAGGACCAGGGGACGCTGGGACAAGAAACGTGAGGCCCAAATCGCTAAGGGAGAGCTGGTGACTTTCCTACTTGTCACACAGATTCTGTAGCTTCCCTTAAGATTCTCCTCTAAAACCAGATCCATTTCTACCCTTTCTGCTGCACTGGCACCAGGATGGGTGATCCCAGCGTGGGGAAGCCTCACGGTGGCTGAGGCAGTGGCTCGGATGGACTCTTCTGATGCACTGTGTGCCCTGCACCCCGGCTGCCCTTTGCAGGAAATGGAAGGAGGCTCAGGGCCTCAAGATAGCAGCCCACAGACCGATGTGCAGTCAACGGACTGCACAGACTGAAAGATTTCTCCTCCTCTGCAGGCTCCAGAACACCTCCGAACGACCCCCGCTTGCCACAGTAAACACCTGGAACACCAACCATCAAGAGCAATCAACCAGCACCACTGACACCAGACTAGCCAGGCTTGCCTCCTGGGAACTGGGAGGCAAAGCGCCTACCTGGGCACGGCCCAGCAGCAAGCAGAGTGCTCAAAGCACGCCAGTGAGCCAAGGGCATCTCACTATCCAGGGTTTTCATTTCATTTCAACAGTTTGGCTATTTTAGGCCTGGAAACAGGAAGCTGGTTCAGGAACCCAGGGCCTGCGACACAAGTGGTGGCTGACGGGGATGTGGAGCTGACCACTCACTGACCCTTCCCTCGGTACTACCTCATCCTGCCTGAGATCAAGCCCTATTCCTGGGCTGGAAGGGCCCCCATGCATGATGCGAGAAAGGGGAAGAGGTGTCTTGCAGCTGCCAAGACACTGAGCTTTGCTCTAGACCAAGGGGGGGGCGGGGCAGACAAGGTATAGGTCAGAGACACCCATGAGGCTGCCAGGCCAGGCCCCCCGTCTGGGCCCCACTGTGCAGAAGCAGCAAGAGGTCGGCACATCCAGCGCCAGTAGGCCACAGCCTGGGGCCAGCTCAGGACTGGGCTGCAGTTGTCAGAGCTGGCAATTCTGGATGCAGTGGAGGCCACTCAGAGCCAGGCAGGGTGACAGGGAAACCACGTCCCTTATGAGTGGGAGGAGAGCTCTCCTCAGGCCTCAGAGCAGCCCCAGGGAGGACTTCTGCTGCAGACACCTGGATACCAGCACCTCCATCATTCTAACCAGATGTGAATGTGTGAAAAGGGGGGAGACGTGCAACCAAGTGCTGTCAGGTATGAGAAGGGCACGGGAGGGACCTGCCAGCTGGAGGATTCCACTCCACAGGTGCTGTTACATGCAGCACAGCCCTCACCAAGTCACACGCTTTACACGGGCATAGGAAGAGTTACGTTAAAATTAATCTCTTTACTGATATAATTAAATTTTAAGTCCTGAGAAGAAAACAGAGAAAAGGGAGAAGGGCACTGGGCGTCTGGCACCCCCAGCTCCCAGCTGCCACGCAACACAGCGCCTGTGCAGCTAGACTCCGGTGGCAGGTGCCCTGCTGGACAGGGCTGTGGGTTGCTCTTCAGGCTGCTGCCAACGTTCCACCCATGGGACAGAGTGGGCTCAGGGCCAACTTGCAAGGGCAAGGACTTACATCCTGGACGCAAGGGCAGCTGTGACTTGGTGACGAGGTACAGGTGAAAGCTAGGAGAAAGACAAACACCTGGTCGACAGGCATTGCCACCAGCTGCAATGAGGACAGCGACACAGGACTCAGGCTCAGCCCCACTAGACTGCATGTTCCCTACCCAGGACCCACACTGCCAAGAGCTTCTGCCACAGGGCAAAGACACACACACGGCTGGCCGGCTGCCTGCAAGACCCAAGCCAGAGCCACGGTGCCCAAGGCAGCCCCTGAGAGACAGGGCGCTTGGTGCAGGCTCCCATAAGCCCTGGCCCCAGTGGCCACCTCTGCTTGGCCTCTGCCTCCACAAGCTCTCAGCAGGTGGTGACCTTGTGGACATTTCGCAAGCAAGTCAGCAGTCGGTGGTACGGGCTCCCCGGTGCCGCGACCACCTCAAACACAGACTGGAAAGCCCTCCGGTCGAGTTCCTCCTCTATCTGATGTTTGTAGAAGTCTGTGGCAACCAGGCAGAAAAGGTTCACGTCCACCTGCTCCAGCTTGCCCATCCTGCTGACGACGTGTGGAAGGCTGGCGAAGGAGTCAAGGGAGAACGCTGGCAAAGGTGGGGACAGCCTCACTGTGCTCCTGGGGAGATTCTTTCCTGACCAGGCCTCCACGAGGCCCAGAAAGGATCAAGGGTGGCCAGAGTAGCCAAGGAGCATCCTGCATTGCAGTGTCAGCACCAACAGATCCTATAACCCTCTCCCAGCAGGGCAGGGGCGTGGGCAGAGCTGGCCCAGGAGGTGGGAGCCCTGCAGGCAGATGCTCGCTCCTGGCACTCTGTGCCACGGCACTTACCTGGCCAGGCCACCTGGGCAGCGCTGGCTGGTGGCTGGTGCTCCCGTGTACCCTGCTCAGGGCAGGGAGGGCCTCTGCCTGGCCGACCCTCCCAGGCACGCCGGGTGAGGCTGTGCTGGTCAGAGGCTCCTGTGGTCTATCTGGGGGAGGGCTGCCTAAGGAGGAGCTCCTGGCCACCAGCACTGCAGGATGGGTCAGGGGGTGGGGGCTGGATCTTTACTTATGCCTCTCCCCAGGAGGGCCATCACACAATGAGAGCTAATGAGAAGCAGCACAGGAAAAGCCCAGCACTCCCAGGGTGCCCTGCCTCCCCTTTTTCCCCTCCACTGGCCATAATACTTCTGCCACACACCAGCCCCTCTGGGCAGCCTTGGTTGGCTCGAAAATGCCTGGCCTTCTGTTCTGTGTCCCTGTCAATGTTTTACATTCTCCTCGACATCTGTGGGGCTCTGCACAGGTGAAGAAGTTTCTAAGTTTTCAACAAAACTGAACCCAGATGCCCTGGGACAGGCAAGGCCTGGCAGCAGGCAGGAACCCAGCCATGAGGACCAGGGAAGGATACATTGCCGAAACCCACGGGCTGGTAGACGCACTGACAAAGAAGCAGGAGAGGCTCCACATGGCCATGGCGACTGGGGTCCTCTGCGTGAAGTTGGACAGAGACAGCATGACCCAGTCCCGGACCATGGATGACTGCCCAGCACTGTGCAGAGTCTGAAATACCTGGGAAGGAGCGAGACACCTGAGCACAGGGAAGGGCCTGGGGGCGGGGCAGGGGGAGTGTGCATTGTCCCCGCACGATCATCTTTAGGGGAGGAACCTGGCCCTCCTGGCAAATCTACTGGAAGTCGGGCTGACTCCCTGCCCCATCCCCGTCCCACAGACAGCTCACCTTGTAGACCACAGTGGCCATGAACTGTGGGTATGGCTGCTGATTGGACAGAAACTCTCCAATGACTTTGTTCATGACATCCTGGGGTGGGAAGAAGTCATCCAGGAACTGAGGCAGGATCCTGGCCACCACCCTGGCTTCACAGGGAAAGCCCTTCCTGATCCTGGAGAAAGGGGTGGGCCAGAGACTCAGCCTGATCCCTAAACCCCAAACCTGCCTTGGCAGAGCCAACATGGAACCAGGGCCCCTGATTGGAAGGGACACTCCAACTGGGGCACAGGCTACAGCCTGGGTATGAATTCTGAAAGCAGAAAGGCCAAACCCCGGCTGTCCCTTGTCCTCCTCACAGGGATGGGGAAGATGACTGCCACTGGGTATAGGCTCAGGGCTTCCAAGTACACAGAGTGGACTTTGCAGAGGGGAGTGACTATCAGGTAAAGGGGTGGCGGGGTGGCAACATTACGGAGGGGAATTCTCTACGTCAAAATGGTCAATGACAGATCCTGTTGTCCTGAATCAGGAATGCTTTTCTTCTTTCCCAATCTGTACCCCAACAGTTCTCTTGTTGATCGCCCTCTCAACAGAGCCGAGAGCCTGCCCACTGCAGCACCCTTCTCAGTGCTGACAGCCAGCATCTGTGATGACCCTACCAGTGCACACACGACTGTGTCCATGGCTATGAAGCACAGGAACTGACCAGGAGTCCTATTCTGTCACTTCAACCAGTACCTCCCACTTTGGCTGCTGGACAGTGGCCAGCTGAATTCTTGGGTTAATGCTCACTGGAGCAATTACTTCCTTGGCAATAGACTGTAAGTTCCTTGAGGACAGGGGCCTGGCTGTGCACCTGCTTGTCCCCAGTTGCCCCTGAGCCTGGCTGTGGTGGTACTCTATGAACATGCGGTGCTGTAACAGTGGCTGCAAAGCTCATTCCAAAATTCAACATGGAAATTTAACATGCTGGGAGGATATACAAGGTTCCTCAAAGAGAGTGCTCGCGGTAAAGTCCGACAGCTTCCCACTGCTAGAATGAGCAGTGATCACTGGCCGAGTGTGGTAACAGTTTTACCTGGACCAAGAGGTCTGAGGGGAGAAGTAGGGCATTGTTCTTGAGAGAAAGCCCAATAAGGCCGCACCTGCTCTCCAGGGCTGGTGAGTCAAGTTAGCACTGAATAAAAGTGCACTCTAGGTGTGGGACGGGAAGGTCACACCCCTCACAGCTTTTCAAGATGCTTGTTAGTTCTGCCTTTACTCTTCCTAAAGCTGTCTCCGACACTGCTTCTGGGTGCCATGGGATCCCTCCCATGGCCCCTGAGGGCAAGAAGGACCCTGCTACCACCTGGCTCCTCTCTCATGAAGGGCAGCAGGATTAGGGCATTTTAATTGCTGCATGCCCAGCCTCCCAGCATCTGACCATTTAAGTGCCCAGGCCACAGCCAGGACTGTAGGTGACGTCCTTGAGACCTCCAGGAGAAAGGGACAAACGTGGCGGAGAGCACCACAGTGCTGAGTCCAAGGATGGCCTCTCAACAGGAGAGCCCAAGCAGGATCAGGGTGTGGCAAGGAAACTGGTGGGACCATGGCAAAGGCGCCAAGAGGTGGAGCAAATATGCAGGCACCAGGCAGCTCCTTCTGGCTCTGGCTCCAGGGCAGTTCAAGGCTGCCAGATGGGCTGCGCCTCTTACCTATCGAAAAGAACAGACACCCGCTCCATAGCCACGATCACAGACTCGCTGTCGGGGGCCACAGGGTTTGGGTCAGAGGCTCTACCAGGGCTGGCTTTCTCCTTTCCTGAAATGAAAGCGCTCAGTGGAAGGTCATGCAAGTGAAACCCCAAGGCTGCACAGACACTTCCCAGTGTGCCGGAGTTCCACAGATCATCAGGGGTAGCAAGGACACCCCAATCCTCAGCCAAGGGACGAGGGGCAGAGGGTTCTGAATCCTTCTGGCAAGTGAGGGGATGGCTCAGGACAACACCAAAGGTGCTGCACACCAGGGGCCTGGGCCAGTGTCCCTCAAGTGAGCACATTCCTCTCTCACGTATCGCTGAGCACAGTGGCCCTGGGCAAGTCTACAATCCAAGACTGCTCACCTGTGTACATGCAGGTAAGCATCAGGCCCAGGGCCGCCATGGCCCGGTGTGGGCTATGCACGTTCACTCTGTCCACACTCAGCTTGACCAGGGATTCTGCATCCAACCGGGAGAGCTGCTCAGAGAGCAGGAGGCGCTCCAGTCCTCGGAGGGCACAGTGGTAGATAGTGGAAGGAGTGGCCTCCTCGCTGCCAGACAGCATCACCCCACACATCTGCACGAGAGGAAAGGCTCAAGAACTCCCCCACCCCCTGATCGACACCGACCTTCCCGCGTCCAGGAGCACAGCTAAGGCCTGCTCACCTGTATCACTGATGCTGAAAACTCTGGCCCCACGTCCAGAGGATAGTTCTCCATCAGGTAGAATGCAGTGGCACACATCACCAACACGTGCTGCTGGCTGTGCACATTCACGCAGCTGGAAAGGGAGCCGATGGCCAAGTTTAGCCACAAGCAGCCTGCTTTACCCGCAGCTAGAACAGTCAGCCCTTCCGTGAGCACAAAGCTACAGGCCATGCTTGCCCCTCCAGGCCTCTGCACTCGGGCCGTCTCCAGGGCTGCACACAGAGCCCTCTGTCCTACACAAGCCACTCTGTGCTGCCTGCCACAGCGAGGCCTGCAGAACCCCTCACACCAGGCAGTCCCACCTGCTCTTGAGGGTACAGTGCTCTCCCTGTGAGGCACACACCACCTCATAATACTGACTCACGGGCTCTCCCAGGTGTCCCTGGCCTGTGACTGGACAAGTGGTCACTGAATGAGGGAGCTGTTGCACCATCACCCACACTCAGGGGGCCCACAGCATGCTCCTATCGGTCACTAGGAGGCCCTGCCTCTACTGCTTTGCCCAGGACTCCCCCTTCTGCTCAAGGAACTGAAGCCAGGAGTGCTCACCATCTCTGCCTAGACACTGCAGCTCCTGCGCCCCTCACTCCTCTGTGCCCTGGCAACTCTCAGTACAGACTGCATTCCTGCTCTGCAATCAAGAGGACAATGGGTAGCTAGGGCCCCCTACAGGCCTGCGCCACCTCTGGCCTGAAGGAGGTGGTCTCTGCCCTGCCAGGCCCCAGTGTGTCCCTGCCCACACACTTCTACACTGTCTGAATTTTGCACCCTAGGCATCATACCTATTGGGTCTAAGACCCTCACTGTGCATTCCAAACCTCATATTTAACTTCACCCTTGATCCTCATGCCCAATCTGCACTCTGGTCAAAGAGGACGGTTGGTTTTTCCTACCAGCCCTCTTCTCAGCTCCTCACTCTTGCCCTCAACCCTGAGTCTAGGCCTGATGAAACCCGACCCACCCCTTGAGGTAGGTGCTGAAGTCAGCTCCCTGTGCAGGCACACACTCTGCCCCAGACCTCCCCAGGGCTTACAGGACACGTTTCTGATGAACTCCTCTTTCTCTTCTTTTCTTGGCTGGGGACTGAACACAGGGGTGCTTTACCACTGAGCTACATCCCCCCAGCCATTTGTGAGACAGGATTTCAACAAATTTCCCAGACTGGCTTGGAACCTGTGATCCTCCTGCCTCAGCCTCCCAAGTTGCTGTGACCACTGGTGTGCTGTGCCATGCCTGGACTATCTTCTATGGGGTCCTGCAACATATCTGTGCTGAACTCTACGTAAAGCTAAGGGAACATGAGATTGAGGTCAGAGCCACAAAGGGTGACCACCCGGGGGAGCTGCAATCAGGGTGCCAAGTCTGGCAGAGGATGAGACTGCTGTTCTTGCCAAGGAGTAACAGATGACTGCACCAAAGAGTGTGGCAAGTGCTGGGGCAAAGGCAGCAGAGGCAGGACATGCCATCTAATTGCGGGCATCCACACAAGTTTTTGGCAGACATTCCCATTCTTGTATCTCAGTGATCTCAGACACTGTCCCCAGAAAAGTGCACCCACCCAGTTCTCTGCCCAGCCCCTGGCCAGGGGCTGGGCATGCCCTCCAAGAGGCAGAACATGGCTCTTTCCTCAGCCTGTTCCCAAACTGTGCCCAGCTAGCCCCACTCACTGGGCTGCTCCTCGGAGGTTAGACAGGAGGTAGTCGCTGACAAAGGGGACGAGCTGCTTGGCCGTGTCGTCCAGAAGATCGCACTCCAGTACATAGAGGACTCCGTGGAGGGCTCCAATCTGGCTGGGCAGGTGGCTGCTCCTGAGTGTGCCCTCCAGCAGGCGGCTGACTGGCTCTGCCACAGCCTTGTCCTGGGCACAAGCACAGACACAAGCTGCCCGAGACACATCAAGGCTCCCATCTCAGTGGCCCACTTTTCCAGCCAAGAGGGGGCTGTCCCCATGCTACGGTGGAGTCCAGCATGCAGCAGAATTCTCAGAGTGGCCAAGACCCACTGAGAACAGGCTGCGTGCAGGGGTGGCCCCTGTGCCCAGCAGTCTGTGGAGATGGTAAGGTTGATGCAGACAGTAAGGTCTGCATAGACGCCTACCCCACTTCTGGGAGTCTGGAGGTTTGGCACGGACCCTCCGAGGTGCCCAGGGGACCAGCCCCAGTGAACGCCCTGGACACTGAGTCTCTCCTGGGCTCTCTGGTTGGCACTTCTACATGTGTTGCCACAGCTCCTTGCTAGGGAGTCAAGCATGTTCCCAGCCTCCACCATGAGGGGACTCTGGAAACGTGCCTTCTCCCGCTGCTGATTTTTCTTTCAGTTTTTCACTGAAATAAATTTTAGCTCTGACATCTTCTAGAATGAATCTAAGGGTAGTTTTGGGACCCTATGCTAACTTGGCCGGAATGGCATCAATTCCACTGAGTATTTTCTACAGCTAGACAGTACACCCTCCACCAGGAACTCCAGTAACAGCAGAGAGGACTCCACAGGAAGAGGTGTGCAGGTGGAGACACGTGTAAATGGCAGTGCCTCAGGAGAGGCAGGTTCAGGGCCTCCACTGGACCAACAGCAACAAGAGGCGTCTGGCCATCCACTCTCTGGGGAAGTCTATACCTGGTGGTCTCAGTCTGAAGGAAGGTGACACTCTGCCACTCACTTCCTTTTTGTCCCCACCCACACCCCTGGGACTGTGTGGCACCTTCCTGAGGATTGCTCCCACCCAGGCCTGCAGTCCCACTTCTGCTAAGGGCTGCAGCTCTGACAAGAGCAGGTATAGAAAACAGTGCATTGGGCGCAGTGCGGTCTGCAGCAACACAGCAGGCTGAGGCCCTGCAGCAGGCGGCCACATTCAATCTCAGAGGAACATTTGCGTGCATAGAAGGGGGAACCGGGGCCATGTGCCATACTGCCCTGGGGTCTGTTCTGGAAATCATTACTCACTTGATGTATCTGATTTAAACTGGCTGGGGATCTGGGCCTGAGCACAAAGCCACAGCTGGGATGAAGGCCAAACCCAGCAGCTGAGCTCCACAGGGGGAAAGGACCTCCCACGAGCCAGCAGCACCCATAGGGCACTTGCCCTGAAGAGCCGCGTTCACTCAAGGGGACCCAGGTGCTCACTGCTCCTGCTCCCTGCATGGCACCAGGTCCCAGGCGAAGGTTACCTATGATAGACTGTTCCTTGCTCTAGCCTCTGTGCTCAGTTATGGCAGATTCTACAGGGGCACAGTTGGGGAGGGTGAGAATGGACTCCACAATGTCCTGTGTGTCCTGTGCCTTTATCAGGTTGGGCAGGACTGGATGGGGCACTGGAGCAGAACTCAAGGCATGTGGGGGATGAGTCCTGGCGGATTCCTCCTCAGTACTCCTGCCAGGGGTCTTGAGTGCCTGGTATATGGCGGCCACTCTTGTGTCCACTGAATAAATGAGTTTCTATTGCTACCAGAGAGTGAATAAGAAACATCACAATTACTGGATAATGCTAAATGACAAAAAGAGCAAATACACACCTGCTTCAACAGTCTGGATCCTTCCCGGTAATGGCAGTGCTGACACTCTGCACTGTGCTCTAACAAGGGACGGGTCTGCAGGCAATCGCCTGCATGTGTGCACTCGAGGTCTGGACAGTGAGGACCACATGGTAATGGCACATGGGGCAGGAAGTCACACGACACTGGCGGGATTCTGATAAACTGGCCGCAGAATGAGGAACTTGTCATGGGGGCTCTGCTCCAGTGATCAGGATAATGTCCTTATCAAGGAAGTCCCAGGGAGTTGTCTGCCCTTCCACGTGAGGAAAGTAAGAAGGTGCCTGCTGCCAAGCAGAGAACAGCCCTCCCCAGGCACCACGCTGCCAGCGCGTTCATCTTGGACTTCCCAACTCCAGACTACGAGCAATCAATTTCTGTTGTTCACAAATCACCTAGCCTAAGGTATTTTGTGACAACACAAATGGGCTAAGACAGCCCAAAGCTAAGAATAGACTCTAGGATCCAGACTCTGGGAGTGGCATTAATGGTTAGGGTGACAACAGGTCCCCAAGGGGGAGACAGCGTCAGCTGAAAAGCACAGGGGATCCAGATCACATGGAAAAGTAGTGGGGCTCCCAGGCTGCAGGCAGACCTGAGAAGCCAGTCATGTCCCCCCTCTGTGCTGTCCCTGTGCCATCACAGACTTGTGGCTTTGTGCGGACAGTCTATTGCAATGACAGAACCAAGGTGTACAGGAGTCCAAAACTGCACTCAGCCACAATGCACGCCACAGTGCCCTGTGGGACAGCACTGACAGGAACTGAGGCCTCTCTAGCTGGCCAGAGCTGCGGCTCACATGTGAGAGGGAGTGCAGCCTGGGTCAGGCATATGAGGGATGTGGCCACGCTCAGTACGTCTGGCCAACACCAGCCCCAATGCAGAGCAGGCCCGAGGGGCCTCCACACAGGAGCCTCTATGCCAGCTTGACTCACCATTCCCAGGACAGCAGCCGCCTTGCAGGTGGCAGGCACTAGGTACTGGAGGAGAATCTCGTCTTCAGAAGGGTGCACCCTCCGCAGTTCCATCAGCGTCAGATACATCATCTCAAATTGGTTGCGCTCAGTGAACAAGTCAGAGACCACGAGAAGCTGGAGACATTGGGACAGGAGGGGACAGTTACACTAGAAGCAACGTGAGCAACTCAGACCAAAGGCTGCCGGGGGCGAGGCACACCCTAACATCCATGGGAGAATAAAATACAGGCATTCCACAGGGGCCCTGGCTGGAAAAAGAACTCAGTGCGAACCTGGAGACCTAAAGCACAGGATGAAAGCCTCCCCCTGAGTGTCTTATTTGTTAAAAATGCCTCTGCTACACACACCACACAATAAACACACCACACACAGATACCACCTGTGTATGTGGACCAGACACACATCACAGATGGAGGCAAGCTAAGGTCACACCTGTGAGGGACACTCACCCCACACCCTCCCTATAGCCCTCAAAACCTCCAGGAAGAAAAAAGGGGGGGAATCAGCTGTTTCAAAAACATGAGTTTTGGCAACCACTCTCTTGTCTCCCAAGCATTCCTGTCTCCAAAATCAGCTCTCACACCACACCTAGGTCTCAGCCAGGTGCCAAAGGCAGGCTGGAGTCAGTAACTCATCTAGACCAGCGTTCACAAGGGGCCACGGGGATGCGCAGAAACCCGAGCCTTTCTAGGGGCTTGAGAGGCAAAACCATTCCCATGATCATACTAACTTCATCCTTATCTCTCTCAGTGCATGGTGGAACTTTCTAGAGGTTACACAATACTAATACACTCAATGCAGAGCAGATATGAGGATCTATTTTCTAATAAACCAGACATTTGCAAACATGTAAAATAAAGCCACTCACTACTTTTCAAAAATTATTTCTTATAAAAATTGTTTAAAGTGGACTAAATAACTACTTCGTAAAACTTGTATTGCCAACCCTGTGAATACTGATATAATCCACAGAAGCAAGTGCCCTTTGAGGTCCTCACTAGCTGAAGAGCTGTGACCCTAAGAGCTAAGACTCCTAATCTGAGATATTCTGAATGGGTGCTTCTCAGAAGGGGGAACCAGGAGTGTGGGGCTGTTTGCCACAGACCTGGAAGGGGCAGACACCTGGAAAGTGAAAGCAAGGACATTTCACCACATGTGCACTGTGAGGGAGTGTCATACACTTGTGATCCCAGCCACCTGGGGGACTGAGGCAGGAGGATCTCAAGTTTGAGGACAGCCTCAGCAATTTAATGAGGTCCTAAGCAACTTAGTGAGACCCTGCTTCAAAATAAAAAGGGCTAGGGATTTGGCTTAGTGAGTTCAATCCCCAGTACCCCCCAAAATAAAAGAGTATTAACATTCTCTGGATTGCAGATGAAGAAAACCACCCCTTTACCAATTCAGAAACACCAAGGTATCAGCCTACAGCCAAGAGTCTGTAAAAGCTCTTTCAAAGGTTCCTTTTTTTTGGGGGGTGGGGGTGGTTGGTGGTGCTGGGGTTTGAACCCAGGGCCCTGTGCATGCAAGGCAAGCATTCTACCAACTGAACTATAACCCCAGCCCTTCTTTCAAAGGTTCTTAGACATTATAAACCATGTGTGTGTGGTACACATGTGTCCCTGTGTGTGCATGCTGTTTGTGCATATATGCGGCGTCTGGTACATACATGTATGGTAGTGCCTGTGTGTGTGGTTGGTTACATGCTCCTGCGAGGGAAGGATGGGGAAGGTGAACTTACAGATCGAACCACTTCACTGATGAGCATGACGGGGGTCCTTCTGGCTGAACTGGACGGCAGGATCCAGCGGCTGTACAGTTCAAGCAAAAACTGGGAACAGGAATGGACATCAACTCCAGCCCGGTGCTTCCTGCAGAGTATAAAACATGGATGGATATTTTCCCCATACACAGATAACAGGTTCATTTCAATAAGCACCACAAAACCAAACAACTAGTAGAATTTTCAAACTGCTTCAAAAACTAAAAGGCCAATGCAAACCTGGAGTTGACTGGAGATGTGGGTGGAGAAGCCGGCGTAGGGACGTCAGCCTCCTCCTCCTCTTCCTCATCCCACTCCTCCTCTCGTAGGGGTGTGATACTGTTACCCAGCCACACGGAGTGTATGGAAACCTGCCACAGACACAGGACCCTCAGCCTGGCACCCCAGGAGGCCTGAGGTTCCTGGTGGATAGGTGCAGCCGGGCTCTCAACACTGAGCACACGGCAGCTGGCTCCGCACACGCACTCCGAGCCCTCGAGCTGCAGCCACTGGAGCCCGAGGGCCTGCGGCAGGGTAAAGGAGCTACAGTTCCCAGGGGTGCCTGGACGCGGATTTGGAAACAGGAAGCCCATCCGTGGAGTTTCTTTCAAACCTGGCCCCTCACAAGCAGTTCCTGGTGGTGTACCCCATTTGTTCAAGCTGCTTATTTAAGAAGCCCCAATACTGCAAAGAGTGATGTGCTTACTTTGGAGATGGCAGCAGGAAGGTGAGGGCCACAGGTGGGGGAGGTGGGGCAGAGACAGTCAACTGTCCCCAGGAAGGGTACCCTGCTGCAGGAAGGAACCTGGAGCCTCACATCCTGAAACCTGGCTCCAGAACAAGTGGCTACTGAGCCGTAGCACAACCCCCAACCTGGCTATGCCTGCTGCTCTGAAAACCCCTGGGACCCCAGCATCCTGCAGTGAGCAAGCTGTGGGCAGGGCAGGCAGACTTGAGGGCAAGTCTCCACTGCCATATAGGAAGGTGATGGCCCAGTGACATTGGGACCTGATGTGTCCCAGATGGGCAGGGATGCGACTGTCCTTTACCCTGATACAATCCCACCACGTTAGTTTTGTGGACAATGGATACTGACACAGCCCTGACTGTAACAGAGCCAGAGGGAAAAGGGTGACCATGAAGCCAGTGTCCCTGAACCCACAGCCAGGGCCCTCAGCAGGCCCAGGCCTCTCACTCCATGAAAGTACATCACAGTTTCACGGTCACCACTGCTCAGGGTGGAACCTCTCTGCAAAGGTGACAGAATAGAAAAGTGAGCTGGCCCCATAGTTCCCTGATCCAGCAGGTACGTGGAAGTGTCCCCATCCCCCACCCTCCCCCACCACACTGTAGCTTTACACGCATGGTGTAATTAAGCAACGCATCTTAAAACATCTCAGAGCAAAGAATGTAAATAGAAACCAAAGGAAAAGCTCCATCCATTTAGGAAAAGTATTGAACTTTTCCCTGGGGGTGTGCCCGAATCCAAGGGAAGCCGAAGAGATTGTAAGGAGTGGGGGACACGGGACGCACCTGGCCCAGCTTGTAGCTCATGTTGCCCAGCTCTCGCTCGGGGTTGATCTGCAGCAGCAGCTTGTCATGGCTGATGAGGGCACCTGTGAAGCAACCGCGTGGGAACACCAGGCAGTGCAGGCTGTAGGGCCACTTGGTGCTAACTCCACTGCTGCCCGTGCAGGTGCCACCCAAGTCACTGTCAGGACAGCCCTGTCATTTATAAGCTGGCAGGCTAGGGGCAAACTGGAGTATGGCTTTTTCTCTGTAATACACAGTACTGCCCTAGCTAATCCCAGGCCAGCTCTGTGTCTCACAGCCTCTCCATGGTGCAACCTGTTTTCCTCCAGAAGCATATGCTTCTCCTCCACTCCTGGGGCCACCTCTCCCAGGACCTGCTCTCTTCTGCCACTTCTAAATAAAGCCTTCAAGGTACTTACAGCTCTGACTAACATATGAAGGGACTGCAAAGCTAAAGTACTGCTTGTTCAACAAAACCAGGCATTAACAACAAGACAAAACAAACTGAAAACAACAACAAACCCCCAAACCTCTCCTCTCCTTTAAGCCACGATGACAAACTACTACAGTGTTTGTCACTGGCAGGCCGAGGTGGAGTGTATGCCTGAGGAGCACAGCACAGAGCCCGGGACAGTGGGGCACTGAGACCAGGGAAACCAGCCATGGGGCAGCAGGAACACACTCTCCTACACATTGGGTTTCTCATGAGGAGCTGGAGATATGGATCAGTCAGACATAACTACTGATTTTTTAAATGCGACCAGCTAATTTGGCTTTTAAATTTTATGCAAGCTGCCAGTCTTCCAGCCTTGAGAACTCTTGGCTTCCCACAACTCAAATGGCAAGAGATGATGCTTCCAGTTCACTTCTAGATTTCATTATTTCCTTAAGACTGAAACTCTCCTGGGCTTGAACAAGACTCCTACTTGCAAGTGCATGCAGCACACTCAGCATACAGCACGGGAGGCATGCTGAAGTGCCGGTCACTCTCACTCTAGTCCTAGCTTGACGCCCCTCTCCTATACCTGTAGTAGCTGGTGACAGAGAAGGGACAGGATCCCAGGCCTGGTATGGGTGATGGGTGGCGATATTCTCTCTCTTGGACACCATTGCTTGAATCTCCTGCTCCACAATCCCTCTGATCATGCTCAACTTCCTTCCAAACCTAAAGTTTAGACAAAAGTAAAGAACATTTTGCTGCTGGTGCACACCTGGAATCCCAGCAACTCAGGAGGCTGAGGCAGAAGGATGTCAAGTTCAAGCCAGCCTCTGCAACTTAGACCTTGTTTCAAAATAAAAAAAGGCTAGGGATGCATCTCAGCAACTGGGTTCAAACCCAGTACCCCCCCCCCCAAAAAAAAAAAACCCCAAACACCAACCATCTTGCGTCCTTCAGAATCCTACAGGTTAAAACCCCTAGGACCTCCTCTCCACTTTGCTTTCAGAAACAGCACAGGAGCAAGTGAGCCCACTTGATAAGTCATTCCTGTCCGTATACCTTTAGGCAGGGGCTCATTCCTGTCTTGCCAGACATTGCCCTTAAACATCCCAAAGGCCCCCATAATTCCAGGTCAAATTTTGAACTTGTTGCTGGGCAAGAAATTATTTGGATCTGCTTACTTGTGCCAGGTCCACATGCAAAGTTGTTTCAATTCCAGCAACAAAGAAAAGAGCTGGGGAAGACTGCTGGTCCCTGAGGAAGGGGTACCTCACTGTCCCCCACAGTGGGATACAGGACACATGAGAACTCAGGCAAACCTGGTATCAAGAGCCTTCAGGGGCTTGTTCCGGGGCTGCTGCTCCAAGCAGCTCACAGCTGGGTTGCCAGCGACAGGCACAGTCATTGCACTGAGCACCAGGGAGGTGATGGCCTGCACAGCCAGGACGTGGATCTGGGTCCTTTCTGTGTCCTCCTGGATGGATGGACAGTCCACACATCAACAATGGGACAGTGAGACACCACAACCAACTCTGCCTCTACTTCACACACTGTCTGCAGGGCACATGGCCTAGGAGGGAGGAGTGGAGGGAAATGGCTCCTCCCCAGCCAGGATCTGTTGTCTTACGAAGTTCACCTGGCAGGGGGCAGCACCTCCATAAATCTGTGCCTTGGAATAAACTAATGGACAAATGTCTATTTTTCAAAGTAAGGTCTCCTATGAGCACAAAACTCCAAATATGAATTTTTTTAAAAGAAACTTTCCTTAAAGGCCCTCACTACTTTTAGGGGCACTTCATAAGACAACCTGTTAGCGTCTAGAGATGAACCTGAACTATCCTTTCTGCAAGCTCATAGCACATCTTCCTCCAGAACCAAGGGTCACACCCATGATCGTCATCCCTCAGGTTCTGTTTTACCACAGCATGGCTGTTATCCATGTCACAGGAAGCTAACGAAATTCACCTTCCAAAAGCTGAACACAACCTCTGCAGAATAATTAGAAAAAGAAACCAGGTGCATGCATAGGGCCTAGATTAAGTACCTTATTTCATTTTAATTCAACTTGTACTCCTCTGAATATTGATAAATAAACAGAACTCGAAGATACTTCCACTAAAGGACACAATCTTACTGATCCTTTATGTGGAATGCACTGTAATAAAAGGCACCAGCCATAGCGGCCACGGATCTCGCACCTTGGGGAGATGTGCTCTTGCTCTGGAACATCTGTCCACACCAGACAGTGAGGAGCGGCTACACCTGCAGCCCCTCAGTCACGGCAGCCTTACCTCCGGTGGGCTCTCTTCCTGTTCCATCACAAGGGGCTGGGTCACCAGGACACCAAGGAGGGTAGCCCAAGTTTCTTCAAACTGTGTACGACTGGTCCACCCTGGGAATGCAAGTGCTACTTTAGACAGCGTCACCCACTTCTCACACGTGTGGAGGGTTACGCGGATAACAGCACTAACCTTGACAGGCACATACAGTAACTTTTTAAAACTCCTCAGATAATTCTACAAGGTAGAAAATGTTTTTTTTCCCCCCCATTTTACCAACAAGAACACTCCAGCACACAGAAGTCAGCTAGGCTGTCTAAAATCAAACTCTAGGCGAGGGCCACAGGCCACACTCAGCCCCGGAGCCCTCTCCACCCCAAACCCCCACGTGGGGGCAGTGAAAGTGAAGGATCGTCCAGGTAGGTCATGCTTGAGTGGGCTGGCCACTTCTGCTCCCCAGGCGTTCTCTTCTCCAGTCTGACTGAGGAGGTGCAGATGGCCACGCTGCTGCAGACAGACCCACAGATCTTCAACTCGGTGTGTGAATTCTGTCTCAATAAAGCTGTTAAGGCTGAGTTACAGCAACTGTTTTTTTGTGTGTAGAAGATGGATCAGAAAAGCCCGTGGTGGTCGGGCACACCCTAGCACCCAGCAGAACCCATCAGAGAGGCTGCTGTCTGGCCTCACCCACCAGTGACACACAGCCTAATCCAACAAATGGCTGATTCTGGGACTGTTTGCCACTGTGTCCTTAGGAGAGCCACAGCCCTTGCCTGAAGTGCACAGGTGCCAGGTAGGGAGAGAAGGACAACTGGAGAACCGACCACCAGGCCCTGCTTGGCAAGCCTGGCATGTGGGACACTTGTGCCCTGACAACCATGTGCATACAGCAAAGGCAGGTTCCCTGGAAAAATGACAGAGCTGGCCTGGTCCCGTGGATCTGATGGGTGCTCTGGGTGTGGCCGCCCAGGAGGACCAGAAGCTGGCACTGGGAAAGGGGCAGGGGAGGCTGCCTGAGATCAGCCTTTAAGGAAAGTGAGGAAGAAAAGCTCCGTGACAGCAGGTGACTCCCGTTTCCCTGAGAACAGGGTGATGGCTCTCTAGCTGTGTGAAGGGCAGATCATGGTGAGGTGTCTCCTGCCAGAACCTTCTGGAATCAGAACAAGCACCAAGTCTGCAGGACCCAGAGGGACTGAGGAGTGGAGGGGTCAGGTCTGACGGTGAAGGCAGGGACCCAGGACAAGCTGGGAGCTTTCCAGGAAATGCCATGGGAGGCACAGTCCTGATTTCCTGACTATACCCACACCACCAGGTGGTAATTCCATCCACAAAACGGGAAAAACAGAGCAACTGTGCTCTTCAGAAAGCAGAGAAGAGTCCTGACAGAACTACTAACGCTACCACTTCCTGAGATGCTCTGAGAGAGCAGTTTCTTATTAATTTCTACGCTTGCAACAATTCCATGGAATAGGCACAACCCCATTTTACAGATGACAAAACAGAGGGTCCTAGAGGTTAAGATAAATAACCTGCCTCACACTGAGCAGCCAGGAGGATTAGCAGAGTGGCCAGGGCCAGCCAACTCCAAGTCTACCTTCCCTCCAGTTAACCATCCTGGATCCTGGGGAAGGTCAGGACCAGAGACTTATTAGCCCATCACATTCCTCAGCTGTTGGTTCTATACACAAGGAAATGACATCGATGAGAACACAAGATCAAACCAATGGGCATGAGAAAACATCCTGAGAAACTCATTGCCACCACTGGCCTGAGTGCACACCACCAGGACAGAACAAGGCCTCCTGTTTGTCAGCCACCACGTGCACACCTACCTACCCTGGCTGCCAGCAAGCCCGGCACCCAGAACCTGGCACCAAACTCCCATCCACAACTCCTCACCAGAGCAGGAAGCTCTGCATACACCGCCAAGGGTTTCTACAGAGGTGTCTGTCATTGTCACCCTGAGTCTTTCTGACATCAAGTGAGAAGACCCTAACCCTGGTGCCTGGGTCTCCCCAGCTATCTGGGCCTCCCCAGCTGTCTGGGCCCTCAGGGCAAGGCGTGGGGTACCGAGAGTGTTGATGCGGTAGATGAATTCTTTGAAGACCTCCTTCTCCTGCAGGAACTCCACTGGGATCTCGGGGAACACTGTGCCAAAGTCCCCTCCTGGCTGGGGCGACCATCCAAGTTTCCACACCTGAGAAGATGAGAGGAAAGAGCCTCACCAGCCAAGCAGGACGGCACACAGAGGAGCAGAGCAGCACTGCTTCTTCCAGAGCCTCCCAGCTAAGCCCACCAGACCTTCCCAGAGTGGGCCCATGGCCTTCCCCAGAGGAGCTCTCATCCCCTCGCCCCAGGACCCCTCTGCACCAAATGTGCCTCCCATTCCCACTCCACCCTGCCCTCCCTGGACCAGGCCCACCACTGTCCGTGCCACTGCCTGCACACCCCGCCTGGCTGGTGCATGCCACAGTCATGTTCCCTGTTGGAGATGCTGGTTGTGGTGGTTGGACATCAGAGGGACCCCACACCCAGGTATGTTAGACAGGTGAGAGTACGAGCAACATTAATAAAGTCCTGCCTCCTATGAATATGTATTAGCAACAGGCACAAAATCACCACACCGCCCATCTCAGTAAACTCAGGAAGTCCTGCTTTTTGTCCTTAGATGCTTGGACAAGCACTCCACAGAGGAATCCCTGAAGCAGACCCAATGCTGTCCCAGCAGCAGGACCAATTCAGCCGCAGAGGACTCAAGGGAGCCCCACACCAAAGCCCACTCCACATCTCTCCCCTTAGCCCATTGGTGTGAGGGCAGAGAGGGCTCTGACTCGGCCAGCCAAACCATGTGAATACTAGAAAGCCCTCCTGGGAGCATGTCCAGAGAGGGGTCTTGTGGCACCTGCTCTAGCTGCACCCTGACCAGGACTTTTCAGGGCGTGGACAAAAGCTCTTGCTGGAGTTTTAACTGCAGTGCAGTGCCTGGTGGGTGGATGACCTCTGGACTGTGACTTCCTATTCCATCCCTCTAAAGGAACAGCACTACTTCAGAATCACACGCCCACAATCCCAGGAGGGCTGCTTGCATGAGGGGGCTGGGGCTTACCCTGCACAGCCACCATAGCTGCTTCTCCTGCATTTTTCCTGGATGCCCAAGTGCTTCCAAACCGCCAGGTAGCACCACTCACTCACAGAACGGATCCTCCAAACACCTTCACCCTCCACAGCATCCCTCAAAGTCCAACACATACCATTTTCTTGGTGCCAGTGTCCCCAGGGCTAGCACGCCCATGCAGAAGCTATGCCCCCAGAGGCAGCTATGGGCCTTCTCAAGGCAGAAACAAGGACCTCCCTTGGCTCTGGGCTCTGGCCTTTCTCTCCTACTTGATGACAGCAGGTCCTGCTGATGCAATCTCACTGGGGAGGAGTCAGTTCAGCTGCCACCAACTATCCCTGTCATGCTAACCTCATTCTACCACCTGCAATAAAGTCCCTTTTGAGCATATCCATTTTATTTCATTAGTTTTTGTTTGTTTGTTTGTTTGTTTTTTAATTTTAAGGCTGGGGATGTGGCTCAGTGGCAAAGTGCTTGCCTAGCACGTGTGAGGCACTGGGTTTGATCCTCCAGGATCAAATAAATAAATAGTTCATCTACAATTTTTTTAGTTGCAGATAAACACAATACCTTTATTTTATTTATTTATCTCTTTTATGTGGTGTTGAGGATCAGACCCAGTGTCTCACATGTGCTAGGCAAGCACTCTACCACTGAGCCACAGCCCCAGACCGAAGCACATACATTTTAAATGGGTTCCAAAGGCACTTCCAAGGCAGGACCTCAGCTGTGACAGTGCCAAGTGCATACACAGCTCCAGGGATGACTGTCAATCAGGGGGCAGAGATCCTGTCTAATGAGATGGCGCCTCAGCCATCTCAGGAAACCCAGTGCTTCTACTAACAACTGCTATGTGCACTACGTCCAAGGACAACAGAGCGTCACAACCACACTCAGTGAGACACTCTGGCCTTTGCAAGGGAGTGCCAGAGATGTCCATGCCCAACCTCCGAAGGCCTGGGCCCCAGGGCTGCCTGCGCACTCTACTTTTGTCTTTGGCAAAGGCACAGCCAAACTCACCAAGGGGGGCACGCGTGTGTAGCTGTTGACCAGCGGCAAGCGGGCCAGGCTGACCACGATATTCTTGAGTACTGCTGTGAGAAATGCTGGCACGCTGCTGTTCCTCTGGTGGCCCAGGGCCAGCACTGACTGCAGGGACTCCACCATCTCCGCCACCATCTCACAGGCTGTGGTGATATACTTGGGATCTACACAGGTGACGTGGTCAAGAAAGGACTCCGTTAAAACACACTCTGACTCTGCCACCCTTCCCTGTGTGCCCCATGGATGAGTTGCAAGCCGAGCAGCGCTGCTCAGACCACCTGGACTTTGAGTCAATTGCCGAAGGCTTATAGGTTCTACCTCTTTAACATGTTTCTCAACCACGCAATGCTCTCCATTCCCACCAGGACCATGGCAATGCGTCTGAACCTCAGTCCTGCCATGTCCCCAGCCTTCCTGCACTGGCTTGCAACATCTAAAGCCACCACGTGGCTGCTCAGCTTTGACTTCCCTCAGAACAATTCCCCTGCCCTCTGGCTTTCGCAGGACCTGTGACTGCGGGAAGCCACCCATGAGTTACGTGAGGGTCTTCTCTCAATATTGCAGCCAGGGAGATTTGGGTTGGCATTGCAAACCTTGGCTCTCCCACAGCAATAGACTGCCTAGTGCACGTGACCTTTACCTCTGCTTTGCTAGGAAGATCCCTCATAGTAGCTCCAGAGGTGGGTGTGGCCTGTTAGGAACTGAACAGCCCACCTTTAACCTTTTTGGTGAAGAACGTTCTATGGAAGGCCTTTGATGTTTCCCGATATAAATAAAGCAGGCGCAAACTCCATTTTGCCATAGTCTAGAAGCTCGACCTGTCTGACTGGCTTGCCCGTCCTGCCCCAACTCTTGAAATTACTTTGTGTTCTGTAGTTTGTTTTTTTTTTTTTGCCGTTTAATTTCTCTTAGCTTTTATTTCTCAGCCAGTTCCATCAAAGGAAACCCCATTTCCACAGCCCACGCGGGACATGGGTGTGATGTGATGTCCCTAGCAAGGCTGCCAAGAACCATGCTATGATCAAGTCTGCTGCATGGATGGGGTGAGTTCCTATAGGAATGCCAGAGGCAAAGTGCTGAGGAAAGTTTCTGACCTCAGGTAAGAACCTCAGGCAGCTGCCAAGACCTGGGGGCAGAGACGGTTCACATTTACCTTGAGTCTGACATAAAGTGTAGGACTAAAAAGTGTTTTGTTAAGTTGATAAATGTGTACAAGATGAATATTACCCATGGCCCATTACAATCAAATTTAGGCAACTTCCTGATACAAAAAAAAAAAAAAAGGTTTTATTGGCCTTAAGAAATAAGAAATGAGGCTGGCATTAATATTTACTGGACAATCTTCAAGAAGTATCAAACTGTGGGGGTGATAAAAAACTTAGCTTCCTTCTCTGGCTGGGATTAAATGAACCCTCCTAAAGAGGGCCATGGAGAATGTACACAATTATATTAACCCAAACTAACCATGCATCAGCCTCGGAGTCTGCTAGCTCTGACTGGGCTCTGGAAAGTCTGCACCACTGTGGGAATTCAAACTGTCACGGAAATCACGGAGATATCGGCTGAGCACTCACAACAGGGCTGTGGCTGCTCCAGGTACTCTACATGGCTGAATTCCCCAGTCTTATCTTATAGCCTCACTGCAAAAGCACAGAGGAAGTGGCCTGTGCTGCTGCTCTGCCAGAAAAGAGCCAAGCTGGAGAGGAGGGTACCTCCCCCTTCTCAGGCGCAATGAGAAACCCTGCAATCACAAAGGCCACAGGAACCAGAGTTTAAGACAAAAAAACAGAGAAGAGTTTGGCTGGTTTTGACCCAGCACTGCTTCTGGGTCATTATGCAATTACAAAACCCCACATGGGGAACCAGCGGTGAGGCTCTGTAACTAGGAACCACTGTGTCCATCGCACAAGGCCTGCTTCTGCAGCAGGGAGCAGGAATAGGACACCTGGCAGTCCAGGAAGAGTGGCCCAGAAGCCGATCTTCCCATCCTTGGGGGACAGGATGCACAGGTGGCATTCCCATTGGTTCCTGGACTATGAGAGCTGAAAGGGCTCAGAAGCTGAAGGCTGGGAGAGCAAGGAGTCACTTGGCCAGAATGTTTTCCTCCCCAACAGCCTTGCTACCATGGTCACAGTAAAACAGCTGCCCAAGAATCAGGAGAGAGGGACATGAAAAGTTGTGGCACATGTCTGACCCAGGAGAGCTTTAAATGAGGACAATTTTGACACTTCTCTGTAGAGAGCAGGAATGTTCTTTGAAAAACCCACCAAATTAAGATGGCGGTAACACACTTGGGTCACAGTAAACTCCATGGGCACGCCCACTAAATTCAAGTTCCTTGGTATTCCTCTTGATCCATTTATCAATCAACTAACATTTGCTGACCACCTGAAGCCAAGTGGCCAAGTTTTTACTCTGGGAACACAAGAGAAGGAAGTGCAGTCACCACCCTCAAGAGCTCAGAGTAACCGCAGTTATATGCCAGTGCTGAGATGGGGGATTCTCAGGTGGGAGCAAACCTGGCTGTGTGAAAGGGTGTAGACTGGGGGGAACTCAGGCTGGACAGGTCAGACAGCCAGAGGAGGAGGCACAGGGGCTGAGACAGAGGAAAGAGTGAAGAGTATGTGCACAGCAACGACTCAATCCCCCTTGAAATTCAGGAATGAGCAAGGGCAAGTTTAAGCATTTTTAGAGTCCACATTTTCCATTTACAAGTCTCTTTTGTGAACCAATTTCAAGACCCCAAAGGAACACAGGTTTAAAAAACAACAACAACAACAAAAACAGGTTCTAAGACTTACTCTGTGTGTCTGAATCTACTTCCTCCTCTCTGACAGTCCTCAGAGTAGTGGTCCTGCTTTCTGGACTAAGAAGCTGGTCTCCAGGCTGCACTGCAACTAAAATCACAGCAGAAGAGATAAGGATTTCCACACACTTTTATTCTTCCTTCCTACTCAAATCTTCACATCTGTGCACCCTCTAAGAATTCAGTGGTGGACTATGTCACATGAGGCCTAGAGTTCTAGAACTGATGTTAGTCAAATAGAAAATGCCAGTCGACAGCACAGGTAACTGCCAGTCTCCTGGCTGATTGTGTATGTGCAAGAACTTGTGCTCCTACACTCAGATTTCAGTCCACTGTGCTGTCTGCGTCTCTGCCCTGAAGGATTTTATCGAACTGTCCATGATTCACTGTTACTGAAAGCATCATTAATCGAACCCCAAGAAGCCTGGCTTTTAAAAATTAATCCCTGGATCTCTGTTTCCAAGTTGACTACAAATGCACAGATGAAAACAATTTAAACAATGGAACATCAAAACACCACTCTATAACGTTTAATTTGAAAATACAAAACTTCAAAACACCCTCCAACATGTAAACTGTAATGCCCAATTTTTAAAAAATTTTAGCTAATGACTCCTTGTTAAGAATACTATTCCTTGAAAAGGATGAATTGCTTTTATTTTACGATATATTAGTGTTACAATGCAGTATATAGAAATATGCATTCAACTCTAACAGGAGACAATCATCTTTTGAATATAATCTTACTAATCTTATAATCACTTAGGGCTAAAAACATGACATGGTCCACTAAGACCAGAGATCACAGGCACGTGAAGCTTAGAAGCATTTTTCTGAAAGCTTCAAATCCAAAATCTAAACAAAATGGTTAGAATAGCAAATTTGAGTTGATTCTAGTGTAGATGCTTAGGTTCTAGAGGTGAAGAGACAGAGACCCACCTCTTCACCCCAAGTCTTACTTAGCTCATGTAAATAGTTGGCACAAAGTAAAAACATTAAAGAGCAGATACACTGCTGGGACATGGACTCACTGGCTTCCAGGAGGAATCGCACGCAGTGGATGAGGGAGCAGGCGTGGGTCACAAACTCTGCGGAGGAGATCACACTCCAAAGGCCAGGTAGCTGCAGGGCCAGGCAGCAGCAGTCCAGCCCTGCTTGGAGGTCCAGACTTAGAGGGATCTGCTCGTGGATCAGATGCCACGACAGGGCCTAAAGGGAAGCATGTGTCAGAGAACATCCACCCGGTTCTTCCTGCCTCCAGGGCCTCAGGCAGGCAGTGCCATTCATGATGGGGTGGGGGGGGGGGGGACAGAGCAAACACCAAGAGGCCAGGAGTCCAGAAGACCTTGGAAGGACGGAACTGGCCCAGCTATTCCCAGGCTACCATCCTCTACTCCCTACATTTTAATCCTGACCTGCCTACCCCTCAAAGTTCCTAGCTCCCTCTTCCAGAGTACCCACACCTTTCTGCACATGTCTTTCCCTCAGGGCCGTGAGCGCCTCTAGCAACCTCTCCTGGGCCCTGGCATCTCTGGACAGAGGCTCTTCTCCAGGGCCTCTGCAGCACAGATCTTACCTGTCAGTCATGAAGCTAAGTTGAAGGGGTGGGTTATGGGAACAGCAGGACCTATATTCAAATGCTGGGCTAGCCTGGCTAAGTCCCTGACCCTCTCCAAGCCTTGTTCTCTTCATCTGTGAATTGGGCATAAAGAGCCCATTACACAGGGTTAGTGTGAGAACCTAATGCAAAGATGCAGGTGTAGTGCTCTGTCCTACACACGAGGCACAGGTATGCCTGGTGCTACTGTCTATACTGCAAGCTCCTTCTGCTTTTTAGCCTCCCTTTAGGCTAAGGATGGTGTTGTGGACCACCTGACTCAGCCTGTCTCAGAGTGGTACTTCCTCACTGCTTCATGACTGACGCATGCATCCCGCTGGGATAGCCCTTTCCTTGTGTGAGATGGCAGCTCCTTGCTTAGGATGGCCAATCTCTGGTGCCTGAGGGAGATAGGCAGTGGTATGGAAAGGCAATGTGCCCAGAGGGCATACATACTTTAGGGGATAATGTTTGCCCTATGCCTGAAACACCCTGATTTATTGACTGGTTTAAGATGCAACACACTGTCCAAATTGTTAAAAATTCAGGTACACATTAGGTCTGCAGCACAAGGATGAGAAAGCATCTTGCTGACCTCCATGGTCCCTGGGGAAGTAGTGCAGTGAGGGGTGAAGGCACTTGGTGAGGTCAGGCAAACAGGACCTGAAGATAGGCGCTGACTTCATGAGGATGGGAGGAGCCAACCAGACTGCTCAGAGCTCTTGGTTTAAATAGAACGGCCTCATTCTTAGTGCTAGTCACGTTCCCTCCCCACAGCAAATTCTGGAGCTGCTCTTACCTCCATGGTCATCACCACGAACTTTACCGTGTCCCTCTCCTTCTCAGAAGGAAGTTGCAAATGGACAGGCACTTTGGAGATCACCACCAAGTACTGTGCCAGGGCCCGGGCCAGTGTGGTCAGGGACTGGTACAATGCAGCATCCCCTGAAACAAGAGACCTCCATGGGCAGCTGCAACCCTGCATAGCCCTTCACTTTCAGAAGCAGCCAAACAATTCTGTGAGGTCTGAAAAGCGCTCCAGATGTCCCATCCAGGTGGCACACCTGCAACACGCCCATGACTGCACGTGGTTCTGCATGTGCACTTCCCTGAGGGACCACCCAGTCTTCCTGAAACACCTGGGACACTGACTAATACCCACAAGAAGCTAAGTGACAAGTGCACAGAAAAAAATTTTAAAGCTATTGAACACTGATGCTGTTTTCTAGCTATTTTTTTTAATATATATTTTTTTATTTGTAGACAGACACAATACCTTTATTTTTTATGGTGCTGGAGATCAAACCCAGGGCCTTATACATGTTAGGCAAGCACTCTACCACTGAACCACAACCCAGCCCTCCAGTTACTGTTTGTTTTTTTTGGAACTGGGGATCGAATCCAAGGCTTTGCAAATGCAAAGCAAACACTTTGCAACTGAGCTGACTTTTGATCAGCAGTGCTGTCTGTATACTTGCTTGGTGCAAAACACTTAGCTGGCCCTGCAACACTTTTTAAAAATAAAACAAGTTTTTATTTAAAATTACCAAATAGATCGTTCAGTTTATTCAAATAGGCCGTGGGCTCTGCAGGCTGGAAGGGCTGGAAGACTTGATGGACAGCAGGAAGCCGCTGAACGATGCTGGTCACATGGTCCAGAGTCACTCCCCGGGCTGCTTTGAAAAGGGGACTCTTCTGGCCACCAGCAATTTCACTCATGCCAAGGCTTAAACATGGAGCCAACAGGTTTAGGTTGAACTCCTGAAATCAGAGCAGTGAAGGTTAGACAAACCATAGCAAAGATTATATGCTTTCAACTAGGCAAGAAAAACAAAAAATCAAAGTCAACACAAGTGTTTTTGAGATAATACAGACTAATATACCACAAGGAATGCTTTAAGAATATATATCTATTATAAATATAAGAACAATTCCATTCAACCTTTGCTCAGTAAAATGTATTTCTGGTCTCTTTGGGGTACTTTATTTATTTATTTTTTAGGGGGTGATGCTAGAGATTGAATCTAGGGATACTTTACTACTAAGCTAAGTTCCCATACCTTTTTAAGTTTTTTTTTTTTTTTCTCCTGTCCCCCCGCACCCCCCCTATTCTGAGATATGGTCCTACTAAGTTGCTTAGGGCCTCACTAAGTTGCCCAGGCTGGCCTTGAACTTGCTACTCTCCTACCTCAGCCTCCCAAGTCACTGGGATTACATGCATGTGCCTTTGTGCTCAGCTAGGGTATAAATTTTAATTGATAAAAAACAACAACATCAAGACTAATGTGCCATCCAAGAAATCAGTGCAGTACCAAGCACTCCTGCAGTTTGCAAAAGATGTGCAAAGGCAGTTTGTATAGGGTAGAGGGGCACAGAAATGCCAAGTGGTGCTTGGAAAAAGAGCATTTCATTCAGTAATTTGTACTGTGTGTTTTATTAATTTCTTTTTAGCCATTTAAGGATGGGGGGGTCTAATTATTCAGGTAGAACATCAATCTTAGTTTAATATTCAGAAAAATGTATTTCATGAGCAGTGCCTAAAACCCAACATTCTTGTAGTTTGTAGCCAGAACCTTTAAAGCTGTTAAAAGGCCAATTAGCAAATTCGGAAAATCCAATAAATTTGGTCACTAAGCAAATTCATCATTCAGTAAATCAGCTTTGACTGCATGGATTTTAAGATAAATTGAACTGTAGTAAACTGATTTTGGACCAAGTCTTTTGTTGATTTTTCACTGTAGCTCTTTTACGTGGAGTTGGGGGGAGCTTTACCACTAAAGGTCAATTTCCCAAATAGCACAGCATTATGGCACCAATGATGACCTGACTGCAGTCTGTGGACACACACATTTCCTTTAAATGCACGTAAGGCAAGTTAAAAACCACATTCCTCTTTGATTCTAATTTAGCTGAAAAAACTCTGGCTCCCATCTTGAAGAGTGCCCACCCCAGCACTGTCCCATTCTGGGTGAGAGCCCCCTATGTGCTGCAGTCAGTCAGCTGCATGAAGTTGAGAGAAACCAAGCACAAGCTAGAGAGCTCCCACTTCCCGCTGCTCGCCCACCGAGCTCATCATGAAGCTGCTCATGTCTTCGGCAGGAATGCGATTCACTAGTTCTGCACCTTCTAGCAGCGCGGTGTCTGACTTGGCCCAACACTGGGACCTGACAAGGCGAATATACCAGTCCTGGGAAGATAAAAATGTGGTCAGACAGGCACCCAGAGGCTTCTGCTCCCCTGGGCTGGACTGAGCCTTGGTTACACTAGGCCCCAGGCTGGCCTCACGGGCTGCCAGCGTACCCTGTGTCTGCAGCTTGCCAAAGCACAGTTGCTGCTCCTGCTGGGACACTCACCTTCTCCCCTCCACCTGAACAACTTCCAGTAGTCCTTGCAAACTCAGCAGAAGTACTGAGGGCTAGCGACCCTCCCCTCTGCCCACTCCCTGACACTGCACAAACCGTCACTGAGTATCTGCTTCGCTCAACTCTCCCCAGCAGCCAGGGCTGAGAAGAAAGACAGCCTAAGAGTGCAGGACAGAACCTGCGTCTCCCTCCACTCGGGTGCTGGTTTTTGAGATCTCAGCTTATCTCTCCCAAGTCCCCAGTTGGTCCCTAACTCTGAGGTGAGTGATGAAGTAATGACAACACACCAGGGTTGGTGTCAATTCACAGGAAGGAGAAGGTGTTGGAACACGGAGGGAGGCTACGGTCGACCTCCTGCCATAGGAATCCCATGTCAGTGTAGCCTCTCTCGTTAGGGCTTTAAAGGTTCCCAAATGTCTCCACCCCAGTCCCCGATCAGAGCTGCCAAGGCCAAGCATCAGCATGACCTGCATACACTGAGCCCCTGAACACTTTACACTTGACACAGGTAAACAGAGGTGTCAGTGCCTCCGTGTGCAAGAGCACTACATAAGGACATAGACACTTACTTTGTCTGGACTCACTGTTTCCAATGGCATGTGTCCATCCCCGTCTAAGGGGTGCGAGGTGACTGGGGGCAAGGGGCTAAGAGAGTCTTGTACAGTGGACAGACGGAACCTGTCCAGCAGGGAATAGAGCCTTTGGTGTCTGAAACACAAACAGAAATGAAACTGCAGTGAGGTTTGCCTTCTAGTCTGTTAGCTTCTGGAAGCACATAAGGAAGGGACGTAGTGGCTCCTTAAGGTGATACGCACTCTGCTCAGACTTCCTCTTCACCGCAGGCCACAGCAGGCCACAGAGCAAACAGAGGCCCTGATCCTTTAATTACCACAGCTTACACCACAAACTTTCACTTATATCTTGTAACAGGCAACAAAAGGTGTGACAATTAATGAAGGCATTATTAATATAAGCAAAAGATCATCTAAGATCCAAGTACACAAACTCTTCCATTTAATCCCTCAGAAAGATGCCGCGTATATCATTATAAATGGACATTTCATAAAAGAATCACCTGATCTGGCCCAAGGTATTTACAAACTTTTACAATCTTCTTCACTTGGGCTGGCAATTGGGTCTAGGGTCAAAACGCATCAGTCTGCTCTGCTGCATGTCCCATGAGTGACAGCTTCCTGATGCCAGTTGGCCATCATCACTCAGCCCTGCAGACTAAAGAGTCACCCACTGCACACTGTCCTATTTAAAAACACCCTCAGCAAGACCCCTCCTTTAGACTGAAATCATGGCAAAATTATTTTCTCCCTCTCTCTTCCACATGTGCTCTCCCCACACATATGGGTCAAGAAAAGAGGTAAAAGCTCCTCTCAATTTATTTTGCAGCCATGGACATATCTTACAGATGAAAATATTTGTGATAAAGGATTCTAAAAGTCTTGCAAACAGAATTAGGGGACTGAACAGTTACGAACATATATGTATAAATACACACATAGATATTTTGCACTGGGGATTATACCCAGGTGCACTTTACAACTGAGCTACATACAGCTTTTCAAATTTTTTTGTTTTGTTTTGAGATAGGGTCTTGTTAAGTTGCTGAGGTTGGTCTTGAACTTGAGATCCTCTTGCTTCAGCTTCCTGAGAAGCTGGGACTATGGGCATGTGCCACTGTGCCTAGCTGAAGAGACAACATTTTAACAAGATGTGGATGCAACAAAAGCCAAGGTCATGCTTTCAGATTCATCCACTCTAATCTAGTGATTAGATTATGCAGATGGTAACTCAGATTCCCTTTTACCATAGAGGCAACAGAAATATCTGCTACCCTCAGACACTGACATGTGGCAGGCTACCCCCATGTGGGCAACAAGTGTTGAAACTGCCAGTTGTTCCTATAAAAAATTCAGGAAGTCTTTCTATTGTGCCACTGCTGCAATAAACCCACCTAAAGGGCATGTTGTTTTCTCAGCCTGTGAACTTGCTCCTGTGCCAGTCTAAGTCTTTATAGCCTGGTTTATATGAACATAGGCACTGCTATGTTGCAGCATTACCTCTGTGCAAGCCCACTGCTCTGGAGGTGTTCCTGGATTCTGTTCAGTTCTTCCACTGGCAACTGGGCCGTGCTGCTCTAAATAAACAAGAACACATCAATGGATTTGTAATATGAAAGGGGCCATAATGACCTCATGCTCATTTAAAAAGGACAAACTGGTATGTAGAGTTTGTCATAGCAAGGACAGACCAGAAGCAGTTGGATCAGACATACACAGAATGACAGGTTTGCACAAGGCATACGTGTTCCCATCTGTGGCCATATCAAGACCAGGCTGATAGAGAAAAACCCAACTTAATGTTCTGCTTACTCTACCTGCCAAGTTCTAATATAAATAAGCATCAATATTTTTCTCAGTACCTGTAAATTTGCAGCCAAAAGCATTTCTACCCGGCGACAGGCCAGGGTGTCAACCATGCGAGCCAGAGCACGGAAAGGGGTGCACAGGAGCCTGTCCACGTACAGTGTGAGCACTGCGCCTGACTGGCTGAGGTGGATGCCTTCCAAGCACTGGAGCGTTTTCTTCAGAGTGGTTGGCTAATGTTTAAGAGAAGAACAGGAGCTGATTACTTTGCCAACTGGAAATTAGCACTTAAAAAATTCCAGGACTCCATTTTTAAGGCAGAAAAACTGACTGGCAATGAAGACTTACAGCTGAAAGATTTTCACAACGAGACTGAATGGCCTGGATGAAAAGACCACTAGCAGCAGAATTCCGATGAATGGCACTAATGAAGTCCTGCACTGGAGGTTCATGCGACAGGCTGATCAGATCCTGAATGTGATTCACGATGAGCCACGTTAAGTGCTCCGAGTCATGCAGGTTCTGACACTGGGAGAGAGCGATGCAAAGTCTGTTTCCCAGTAGATAAGAGGACAGGCAGACAGGGCAGGAAGGAGAGGGCAGATTCCACACACAAACCTGCCTCACTGAAAGTAACAGCCGTCTGAACACAGTGGCTGAGGAGGCAGGAAAGTGGCCACAGCACAGAGCCCACCACCTCCAATCACACACAGAGGCGGAGGCCATGTGAAGTCAGAACCCACTGCAGAAGTCCTGCTCCTAGGGACACCAGCCCAGGAAGGAGAGAGAATAAACAGAACCTGGGCTCCTTTCCATGGAGAGGTCAAAGGGAGGCCCGCCATGGGCTGAGTGTGATCCAGGCTGCAGGAACAGCAGGAGTGGCCTGCAGCGACGGTATGCACAGGATCCAGGGACACTCCCTGACCAATGCCTGCTGCCCCCTTCTAGACTTTAGGCTGGCCCAGCAAGGGGTATTCCCTCTCCACTTACTTGGTCTCCAATTTTGCAACATTTCAATGTAAAAAAAAATTCACTATAACTGCCACATTTTTGATAGAATTCCTGAATCTAAAAGATGAAGGGATTCCCACACATTACACGGAAGAAATTTCACTCAAGATTTATAAGAAAATAAGACACGTCCATTTGTAAACATATGTATAACCCCTTAATCTTAATTCAAAATTCTTGCAGGCAGAAACCAAAACATGATAAATTCCTTGACATCTGGTAAATGGTTAATATTTTTCATTTGGGATCATATGACAGTATTGCCTCTTTTTATTACATCTGTGAAAAGCAGCATTATATAAATTATTTCTCAAAAGTGGAACAAGACAGGAAAACTATTTCCACCTCAAGAATGAATGTTAAGCAAAACGTGAGGATTGATAATCAGCCACACCAAAAGGAAGGTGCACAGTAGCTTCCCAGTGAAGCCACGGCCCCTACTGACCCAGACTGTTCATCCCCGTCTTGCTATGGGGACAGTACAACCCAGAGGCCCAGCTCGTAAGAGGAACACTCATGCTTTTACCAAGTAACTAGTATAGAAACTCCAGCGCAGGACGAGACAGCGAGTCATCTTGGAGCAACACACTTAAAGGAGCCTTTATTTCCTTCTGCTTATTTTGGTTTTTTGTACTTTAAATGTGTGATGCTAGTTTTATGGTTAAAACGCCACAATAGTAATCATTTTTAAAAGAATGGCATTCAAACAGCAATCTATTTAAAATATAACGTTGAACACTTAACACCTTCCCTGCTAAGTACAGCACCCAGGGCACTTATCCACTGAGCCTCACCTCCACCCCTTGTGATATTTGATTTAGAGACAGGGTCTTGCTAAGTTGCTTAGGGCCTCACTAAGTTGCTGAGGCTGGCTCTGAACTTATGATCCTCCTGCACCACCATGCCTGACTTCCAGAAAATTTTTTAATCGGATCCCATTATGGTCAATCTAAGGCTTGTTTTTGAATTTATGTATTATTTCATTGCTTCCCTCAAATTAAGTAAAATCCTCAGCATTATGTCAGGCATAGAGCAGTTGCTGTGGATTTGCTGAATGAGTGATGGTGAGTGACAGCCTACGAAGGCCAGCTGAGACACCCAGCAGAGGGAAGGCGAATCCTCACCACATCACGGTGGATTATTAGACAGTACTTTTGATTTTCAGTTTCAAGGGAGTGGAGGCATGGCGGTCAGAGGGACCACACAGCACCTTCCACACGGCCCCTATCCCCACCCCTTGCAGGCGGTTCCAAACTTACGACATAATCACAGAAGAGAATCAGCGCCCCTCTCCGCACGACTTCTCTATTGCACATTCCAAGTTGGGCTGCCGAGTCAGACTCCTCCTCCTCACCAGTTATCTGGGGACTAAGCGACTTGGTACAGGACAGACTGTGTCTCCTAGGAGGGGAGAGAGGTGTGCTGAGAGTGCACTGTGTTGGTTACCCTGATCCTCGTCTCTGACAAGTCATTCTAGACACTGAGTGAAACAGACACTTTCAGTAATCCAGACCTAGGCGACAATAAGCACCTAAGTAAAAAAGAAAGACTAAATGACACAGAGGCTTTAGCAGGCAGAAGATTAAATGCTGGACCAAAAGACAGGACCCACCAAAAAGCTGCACATTCAGTCAGCTCTTGGGCTGAAATCTCCCACCTGCCACACATACTGTTGACTGCCCAAGGGGACACTATCCGTTTCTGTATTTTATTGCCCATTTCCCAACAGAACATCACTACTCTGAGTCCGTCCACAGTGCGTGTGCTATTGTGGGAACACGTTTAAAAGCATTTCATTCCACTAATGGGTAATTTCACTTCACATTTATTTCTCACTACATCTTTTTCTTTCTAAACAAATGGGAATTATAAACTTGAGGCTCTTAATTCTAGCCAAAATATTTAAAACACCATGTTGGCACACTCCCAAACTGCTGCTCTGACTTCAACGCCTGACCAGGGACCACACCCTTCCCAGGGTAGCAAAAAGCCTGTGCCATGTCCTGCCGAGGCTCAGTGTGGATGGGGGTTCCATGAGGGCAAGAACATTCTGCAATATGTCAACTTTTCCTGTAAGCCCCTCAGGATTTAGAAGACAACCAGTATAAAACATTCTACAGATAAAAAAATTTAATGGCCACTTCAGTTTTTCCCCCGAGAAGCCACACTCAAAAGGCCACACAGTGAGATCTCCATGTCCAGGGAATTCTGTGCCAGGCTAGAGGGACAGGTGTGCATCAGCAGTCACCAGGGAAAGCAGGAGGGGGGCTACAAAAGGACAAGAGGGACCTGCTTGAAGTCACGGTTCTGCTTGTTACCTGACTACAGCTGGTACAAAAGAGGGCATTTTACTCTAAGTCACGTCAAAAAACTGTCAAATACAAAACCCACCCTTCTGCAGTGGCTCCACATGACTTAAACTCACAAGCTACAACAGCCTCCGAAGGAGAGCAGCCGGCATTTGTGATTCAGACAGCTGGCAGCAGATGCTTAGGAGGCCCAAGATCAAACAAATTTACCCCCAATCTGTAGCAGTGCAAGTCCCCAAACAGTGCTGCTGGCACACGTGGGCTGACAGCACCTGAGCACTCGAGCTGGAAGTGGCCCATGTGTGGACTGTGACCCAACACCACTCCCACATGAGCCACAGTGGGGTCAGGACTCTCACAGTTCAGTCAAAAGTGAGACAGATAAAAAATAATCAAATCCATGGTGACAGAGTCCTGAAAGGAAGGTAGAGAGCAGAGCTCATGTGGGGACTTCCTGGAGCCACACTACCATGTGGCCTAAGAGCTGCACAGCAGCCCAACTGCCCAATCAAGGGAAAAGGAGGGCCAGAGAAAACCGTGTTGAAGCAACAAAATACAGTATATCAGGATCAACAGTCTAGCCAGCGACAAGGAAAACGGTAGAATGGGGGTTCCTGTGCATTGCCACACGCTGGACAAGTGGTACCCTTCCTGGAAAGCAGTCCCCACCCAGAATGTGGGCACCAGATAGTGACTGTCCACCTACATGCAGAAGGGCTCTACCAGTAACCATGACTGCTTCTGCTCCTAGAGTCACTGACTCAGGTTCTGCTGGGGATACATGGGGGGTTCAAACCCAGAAATGGGTCCTGCCCTGCTGGGGCTCACGGTCTAGAAGGGGATACAGATATTAACACGAACACAGGTCTAAGTATAGCCCTGACACTTCCACAGGAGGGGCACAGGCTGGCGTGAGAGCAGACAGAGACCTAACTCAATAAAGAGAAGCCAGGGCAGGGTGCCCTAGGAAGGCATGCTGGGCTAAGAACCCAGCAGTGACAGCTTTGCTGTCATACTGAAGGGACAATCTGTCTTTATTAGTATCTGGAGGGCAAGGGACAAAAAACCGTAAAATTCAACTCTAAAACACTAGCAATAAGTAAGCACAATCAACTAACATTTGTGCCTAGACCCACCTAGTCTTGCCATCTCAAAGATGACCCTCTTCTATGGGCTCAAGCCTGTCACCCTGGATCACCCATGCCACTGCTTTTCTCACTGGAAGTCCTCTCTGGTGGCCCTGCTGCTCGTGGCTCTGCTCCCCTCTAAAGCAAGCCAGAGAGCTGCCTACCATTGCTAAGAGGTCCCTTCTCTCATCATCTTCTCTCCTCAATTTTTATTTTGAAAACTTTGAACCAACAGAAAAGTTGGAAGGAGCCACTGAACAGCCACAGGCTCTTCCTTCAACGAGACGAAGCACAGAGTTCATGAGCATGCTCTCACATGAGTGCTGAGCCGACCTCACCACACCACACCACAGCCCACACAAGCGCCACACCTGCTCCCAGGAGACCCACACACTGCACACCCAGGCCACGTGAGAGCAAGTGTCCTTCAGGACAGGCCACACTGAGCCCCTGAGCAGATGCCTCCTGAGAGCACCTCCCAGCCTTGCCTTCACATTTCTAACTGCCCAGCAATGTCCTTTCTGGCTGACTGGGACCCAGGGACCACAACATCACCTGCATCTTAAAAGGGCACTGGCTTGTCCTGCCTGTTCCTTTCCACCTAATGTGGCAATGGGTCTCAGGAGCCCTAGTGGAAGGGGTGCCTGCTCACCATCAGCTAGGTTCAGGCTGCCATCTCCTCTGAACAAACTACAGTGTGCTTCCTGCCCCGTCTGCTGACACCAATGGGGAGAAGCAGGGCTGGACGGGCTGTGGACACCTCACTTTCTTCCTGCCTCCCTCAAACCCACCCCACCTCACCCACAGCTAACCCAGGCTCTGCCCCTCCATCTCGCCCAGTACGCCTCAATCCTGGGTGTTCCTACTGGGTTCTCCTGAGAACCTGTTAAAAGGCTCTTGGGGCCCTGGTCATTGGGCCTGGTGGAGAGAGGTGTCTGAGGACAGCACTGTTGTGTCGTTGAGGCAACCCTCCTGCTCAGCGGGTCCAGGGATCGGCAGCACTGCACTGTCAGAAGTCTGGCGGAAACAGATTCCCAGGCCTTGGCCAGTTACTGCCTCTGATTCTTGCCCTATTCACTCCCTACCCGAAGCGCACACATGTTTAAGAAGCACAAAACCCAGCAACCCTGGCTTCCTGTCTGCTGGCTCTTAGTGTTCAGTTACTGCGGCAGGTCCAAGACATCCTTCGAACATTTCAGATGCTGTCATGGGTCTGTCTCCCCCGCTGAGTGATGAGCACGTGGGTGGGAAGCGGCGTCCTTTTTTCCTTTGCAGACCCCACGACACAGACAGAACAGAGGGGCCATCAAGCCTCTCAACAGGGAGGCCGAGCTGGAGGGCCTGGATGGCAGCCCGGGGCCTCCGAGCCAGGCAGAGGACCACACTTGCACTCTTCCTGCGTCTTACAGAGACTGTGCTGAGGACTCAGCAGGGCTCACAGCTTTATGTCCAAGCACGTTCAGATGTGTGAGGGAGGAAGCACCTGGACACTGAGGCTTAAAGCTAAACACTTTTTGCAAAAAGAGGCCACCCACAATCAGAAACTTAGTTTTTTTGAATGATAAAAAAAATAATAATAAGGTATTTCCAAATAGCTTTGAAATTTGCTAAATAATTGCTTCATTATCTAAGAATAAGCAGAACCACATTTAACTCATAATGAAGTTAAGACATTGCAACATGCCTGGTTATGGAACCAGTTCAAGTGACAGGACCTAGCAGGAGGGACACTGCCTGGCAAGAGCAACCCGGCAGATGGAACAGTGTTGGAGAGCTTGGCAAAGAAAACCATGGGCTGGGGCTGGGGCTCAGTGGCAGAGCACTTGCCTAGCGTGTGCTGGGCACTGGGTCCAATCCTCAGCACCACATAAAAATAAACACACAAACAAAATAAAGGCATGCTGTTCATCTACAAGTACAAAAATTTAAAAGAAGAAGAAAACCATACTGAAAAAGCAGTTGCTACTCTGAACACCTGTGGTCAGCACATCCCCACAACACAGAGCCTGCAAGGAAAGACCAGCCTGCGGCCAAAAGCCCTCAGAGCCTCACAGAGCATGGACATGAAAGCGCCTCTGCCGCGGCTGCAGCCAAGCCTCGGGTGGCGCAGCACCCACCAGCATCAGGCCACACCCTAAGCTCAGGGACATGCACCTACTTGGGTGTCTGCTGCACTTCTGCCCACCAGCGGTGGTCTGTGTGATTGACGAGCAACAGGATCTGACACCAGAGCAACACCAGGGCTGGGTGCGTGGGCACCATGGAGCGCACACGCCCATTCAGGCCCTCCAGGCTGTAGAAACTGCCCTCACAGCCGTCACTGGTGAAGAGTCTTGTGGCAGCAGCTGTGATTCGCCGGAACATTCCTAGAACCAAACATAATACAACTGATTACAGAGAAACATCTTTGATGTTCATCGTAGTCCAACACCAGGTAGCTATGTGAAGACTTTGCATAAAAAAGATAGTCACACAACCCTTTCCTTGACACTTGACACTTAGAGAACTGTCACCTTTCTAAGCAGAAATAGATACTGTGCTCATTTACTGGGTTGGCCCACAAATGTCCATACTTCCCCACTGCCTGCCCCCACGGGCACTACCAGGTTCTCCAGCAGCTCGAGGCAGGTGCTACAAGGTCTGGACGCAACTGTGCAGAAGGAGGTGCCAATGGTACCTCAGCTCCTTGAACTCAGGTCATTTGGGGTCTCCACACACTAAGCCCCTGACATATGGGTGGGGACCCACTCCTGCTCACTGGCTTACTGAGAACTTAGGAAACAAACACCACAAGAGGCCAGGCAGGGCAACATGACAAGCTCTGAGAGAGAGCAGATGGGCCCCCCAGCACCCCCAGGCTCCCGTGTGCTCCTCACAGGCCACCAATGGCTGGGAGCCAGGCAGTAGCCTCCGTGCTGACCCCAGAATACCCAGGGACTGAGCATGCCAAGTCACCAGTCCCACGCCCCACACCCTCCACACTGCACACAAGCACAGACCCGGGGAGGCCTGGCAGGAAGCACTAGCCTCACGACCCCTCCTTCGGCTGAACACTGGAGTCAGCTCACCTTGCACGGCCTCACAGGGACCAGCCCTCCCCAAGGATGGACACACACGCAGGGCAAAGCACAGCGGGGAGAGGATGTGAGGTGACATCAGGAAACAAAAAGGAGAGAGGTCAGGTGTTCGCTCTCCCCCATGGCTGGGTCTCCGGCATCACGGATGGAATCAGAATCTTATTTTCAATTCCAACACATCCCAAATGTGAAAAGGCCCTGAAACAGGCAAAGACTAGAGCCTTCTATTACTTCATGACCCACCCAAACCACAGCTGAGACCAAGCAGCAGTACAACATGGGAGGCCCTGTGCTCGCCTGGTCACAGCCCCTCAAGGAGTCCAGACTCCTCCGCACTGCTTCTCAATCAGCACTGCCCACTCCGTTGTGCCTAGGCCTGGCCCCATCCCTCCCTGTGGCCCTCCATCACCGCATGGGACACAAGAGACAAGAAGCACGGGCCCAGGGCAGAGAGCATAGAACAAAGGCCAAGAGTGGACGACAGCAGGTTAGAGCTGTGCTCAGAGACTGGGCATCAGTGCAGGCTCCACCACTCTCTCCTGGGTGGACTGGGGCCTTGGCCTCCTCACGTGACAGAGGGACTGGAGAGCAAAACCTGAGCTCAGGGCTTGGCCTGGAGCCTGCAGGGGCTGCAGGGCTGTTGCTGCTGCCCATACAGCTGAGCACGGTCAGAAGAGCTCAGATGAAGAGGAGATGGACTCTACAGGGGCAGGGGCCCCACGCCACAAAGGAAGGTGGTGAGACGGGGCTCACAAGGCTGGGGAAGGAGCTGCCGCTAAAGCTGGGGTTCTGGACGATCCTCCTGTTAAATGTGGAGCTAGTGAACAGGGAGAAGAGGCCTTGGAGAAGCTAGCTATGCTAGTGTTGTGTTCAAGGCTAAGCAGATCAAGCCCCACGTCTGCAAGGGGGATGGAAAAGAGAATGAGACAGGAGGGTGACTGGACCACACGGACAGGGACAGAATCACCCATGCATGCAATAACCTGTCACACATCAAGGGACAGAGGGAGGAAGCAGAGAAGGGAGAACAAGGCAACATGAGCGACTGAGAGAGAAGACGAGAGAGGAAGCTGATGATGGGAAGCCTTAGAAGGAAGAGGGGGCTCCAGAGTCCCTGAGGACTCAGGAAGGGACACTGCTTTTTGCTTAAGAGGGCAAGAGAACCAGGCATGATGGCACATGCTTATAATCCCAATAGTTCAGGAGGCTGAGGAAGAAGGATCACAAATTTGAGGTCAGCTTCAGCAAATTAGTGAAGCCCTAAGCAACTTAGTGAGACCCTGTCTCAAAATAAAAAGGGCTGGGGATGTTGCTCAGCAGAACAGCAGCAACCCAGGGTTTCATCCTCAGTACCAACACACTCTCTCTCTCTCTCTCTCTCTCTGAAACTAAAAATAAAAAAGAGGGCAAGGGACACTCCTGTGGACAGGAACCAAGAGGGAAACGACTGTGCAGAACAGTCAGAACAAACTTCTGAGACCTTTTTCCCCCTCCTTTTTTTGGAAGTTGTACAGTGAAAATAGGGGGAGACCAGCAATTGAGAAAACAATGGCAAGAAGGTCCCCTTGTTCGTAGTGTGGACCTGGGCTGTCTGAGCCAGCAGGAGAGGAGGCAGAGAGCCCACCTTCCTGGGTTTGCTGCAACGAGTGCACAATGGCCACCTAATGAGCACGTAAAGGAAAACTTAAGACAGAACAGAGGGTGTGAGGATGGGGAAGCAGACACACGAGGACGAGGAAGAAGGCAGGAGAACAGGGAGAAGGGCAGCGGCTTGAGGCAAAGAAGAGGAAGACTGGACGCTCACTCGCCAGGAGGATCTCTTTCCTCTCTGCAAAAAGTGGGCTGACTTTGCTGGGAAGTGAGGTCTGAAGAATACACAGGACGTGCCAGGAGGACAGACTCCTGGAAAGCTCCACCTGAAGTGCCCACTGACTGTTGTGACACTGCCCTGTCCCCTCCCCTCCCCAGGGTTTCCCTGACTTCCTCACCAGCTGCTGGCCTGGGGCTGTGGCTCAGCGGTAGAGCACTCGCCTCACACGTGCGAGACCCTGGGTTCGATCCTCAGAGCCATATAAAAATAAATAAGTGAAATAAAGGTGTTGTGTCCAACTACAACTAAAAAATAAATATTAAAAAAAAGAAAAAGACAAAGAAACAAGCTGCTTCCATCTGGTAACTGCCCACCAGGCTGGGAAGCAGTTACCCAGGCAAGAAGACATTTTCCCAGTCTCCTTGTAGGGCAATGGGACATGACCAGCCACTGCCAGAGCAACAGAAGCAAAACGGACACAGACACAGGTCACTTTTGGTCTACGGTGATAAGGCCCTCTCCACCTCCCATCAGGCAGAGTGCTGCAGCCGGGAAGAGCAGAGCCACAGGCAACAGCCTGGGCGCCTGAATCCCCTCACGGAGGAAGAGCTGTGTGCCCAGTACACACTTAGCCTTCGACTGTGTGAGCCACTGGATGGTGATGTGTACTCCACCACTGAGGACGGGCTTCCCAGAGGAGCCTCCCTTCCTGGTGTTGGGAGCAGTAGTGACCAGCTGTCTGAGACAGAGAAGAGGGCAGGGCCTGTGGACGGAGGAGCTGGTGCAGGGCAGGCGAGGGAAACTGGGAGGGACCCAGGAGAAGAGAAAAAGGCTAAGGGCACCGAGGCAGCACAGGGCAGAGAGCGGTTGGTGGCACTGCACAGTTTCCCTAGCCCTGTGCTGGGAGCTAACAGAAGACACTAGGAGCATAATGGAGGCAGCAGTTGGAGATGATGCTGTCATCAAGGCAGGGGGATGAGGAGGTTTGCGGAGCTCAGGCAGAGTCTTGGGTTTATACCCTGGCTCCTGCTTAGGACTCTGAGGCTGCTTCTTTAGCTATAATATGGTCACAATGGTATTGTCTCATCTAGCTGCAAGTGTGAGCTGCTGCGCTGACCATTACCAACCACGCAGCAGCCTGTCCTAACGCAAAGGACAATGAAGTCATTCTTGGGTTTTCATTCTTGGCTTTACAAAAGCCTGTTGGAACCTAAGTTCCCTCCTCATCAGTGGAAAGTGGAAATATTTCAGAGATGTCGTAAGGATCCTGTGTGATGAGGCGAGTAAATGGTACTACATTCACGAGAGAGCTCACTGCTCCTGGTACTACTGACACGGATCCCGGGCTACTAAACCGCAAAGCCAGCCCACCAATCCCTGCCAAGAAGCAGAGCAAGTGGCCTGGGCAGGCTGGAGCATGGGCAGCAAGCTCGGGCCACACCCCCACAGAACATGCCATGCTAGTGTTCCCTGAGGCACAGCCAGCCAGGCTTGAGGCAACCCAGGCACCCTGACCTGTCATCCTGAGGCAGCCCCTCCTCCCCATGGTCCCTCCAGGATCTGACAACCTCAACCTCCATGGGAAGCTGGGACTGCAGCCAGCAGAAAGGAAGTGGAAGTGGGGCAGACCTGAGTGGAAGTGCAGACTCAAGGGCTGATCAACAGCATCAGTAACTTTCTAAAACCTGACTAGCATGAATTTTATTCCAAACCGTGTAGCATAAGTTTGGACCAACAGCACTGACCACGTGCTACATGAACCCCTAGACCAGCACTCTCAAGTAGAAACCCGTTAGGTCCCTCTCGCCCTGCAGGAGTTCTGATTCTGTTCACACTTGAATAAACCCTACTCTCTCACTCATCCTTGTCTGTGGATTTCATTCTTTGAATCTGGGAAACAAAAACCCAGAAAGAAGAAACTGGCAGTAAGCTGCAGAAGTGAGCTGCAGAAGTGTGCTGCAGCACTGGAGGGGTGGCCTGCCACTAAGAGCTGCAACACGCACTCAGTGGAGCGGGGAAGAGATGGCTTCCTCAGTGCAGAGCCCTGCCGCTTGAGCAGAACCCACCCACCAGCAGCAGTGGAGAAACTCAGTTTCACTATGAAATCTATCAGCCCTCATCCTTGCCCGAGCATGGTAGAAAGCACCATTTTCTCTTTCTTCCAATTACCCCCACTTGGCCATAGAATAGAAATACTGGCTCTTTTGAAAGCAGCAGAGGAGAGCTCCCACCCACCTGCCCACCTCTGCCCAGAGGGAAGTGGGCATGCAGCACCCACATTCTGCCCCTTCTGCTCAGCAGGTCTCCAGTGCCCACTGCCTGGACTCAAACAGGAGGGAGGCATCAATTTCTGTTGCTCCTGACTGGATGAGTGTTTAGATGGCATATGGGGAAGGGACAGAAATATTGACTTAGAATTCATGGGTAGCAACGCTAGGAAGCTTTATGAGGCCACAGGCCAGACAGCTTTAATCCAACCACACAGACAACAGTCAAAACAGGTACAGTGTCCCTTAGCACCTGCAGGTGCTTCCAGGACTCCCCCCATCAACACCATTTTTATCAAAACCTGCAGACCCTTAAGATTCTAGTATAAAATGGTGTGGGATTTTCCTAACAGCCTCCCACACATTTTAAACCATAATTTATGGAATAGTATAATAAGAAAAGTCTGTACACAGCACAGATGAAAATTTTTCTTCAAGTATTTTCCATGGCAGTTGGTTGAACCTGTGGGTACAGAACTGTGGACAAGCGGGCTGAATGAACCCCACCCCATGCCTTGGGTCCCACCTTCTGTTTCTAAATTGGTGTATCCTGAGGCTAAAGAGAAGAATATTGGTTACTCCCTTTTTTTAAACCTTGGCTATTCTTATGATACTGGACTGAATCTGAAATAAGTAAACAACTTTGGGATAAATCCCTCCTCCTCCAGCAAGAAGGATAGCAGAAAACTAGTAGTCAGAGCTACTCTTCAGACTAGTTCCTCTTTTAAGAAATAATGACTGAATCACTGGATTGGACAGGACAGAGCTGGGGGAAGAAAGAGGGAAGGGAATGGAAAAGACAGTTGAAGAAACTGGACATCACTTTCCTATGTTCATATGTGACCAGTGTAACCCCACATCATGTACAAACACAAAAATGGGAAGTCATGCTCCATGTATGTAAGATATGTCAAAATACATTCTATTATCATGTATAACTAAAGAGAACAAATGAAAATTTTTAAAAAATAACAAAACCCTGAAATGACAAATTCAAGGTATCAATTTTCAGTGCCTTTTTAAAAGCAATGCACAACCATGAATCCCATTTTATATGCTAAGTGCTCCATGTTTTTATTAAAGTAAAAGATGATCTATTTCAGCCCCACCTCTCCGTCAACCAAATACAGCAAGTATGCCACCTGGTGTCTTTAAGAGGAATGCAATCATACTAACAAGGAGAGAGGAAACATTTATACACACACGCACCTTATTTGTAAATGGTGGACCAATTAAGTAATATACAAAGAAACTCGAGCGAGGCCAGGCACTCTAACCAAGCCGGAGCTCATCCCAGAGAGGGCTGTGCTGTCTAAGGGAGAGCTATTTAAATTTAAGTCAATTAAAATTAAATAAAACTTAAAAATACATGCCTCCAGCACATGAGCTGCATCTTGGGTGCCCAATAACACTAATGTAGTCATGACACATTCATTTTCGCTAGAGAGTTCTACTGGACAATACTGGACAATACTGCAACATACAGTAAAACCCACCCTCTAAGGAATGCCATCTGACCCTTCATGTAGCCCAGGCTGGCTGGAGTACCCAGAGGTTCATTGTCATCCACACAAGTCACACAGGGCCAGTCACATGAATAATTCAGGGGCTAAACCACAAGAGCAGAGACCATGCTTCTGCACATCAAAGGAGTCCACTGGAAGACAAAGTCCACACAGAAGCAGAGCTGTAGACACCACACAGACCACAGGGCTCTGTCTGTGTGTGCCAGGCACTCAAGCCTGTAAGCTCCATTCCTTGCTCTGGTTTGGGCTGGAGTCTTACCCCTAAAACTGAAAGACTACCGAATACAGAAACCACACCATGCTCTGTTGTGATTTGTAGACTTCAAACAACCTTGGACGTTAACCTGTTAACTCTACCTTGATAACGAGGAAACTCAGCACCTGTGTGCTGCCTCCTACCAATCCTGAGTTGTATTTTCAGATCTATTTGGATTCCTTTGTAGTCTATTTTCTGTTCTGTCAAGTCTGTACATTATCACACAGCCCAATGATGCAAGATGAGACTATTAGTGCCCCTTCCACCCCCACCTCTTTTTCTACCACTCATTTCCCCAATTAACTTGTTTAATTTTCTTCTTATATTTATCAGAACTAATGGAGATGGGAAGTAGAATGGGAGCTCCTGGACGCTGCAAGACGACAGGAGCTACTTAATTAAGAGTGGGGGGCTTCGGTTTCACAGAATGAGAAGAGTCACGGAGATGGATGGTGGAGACGGTTGTATAATATTGTGAAGGTATTCGATACCAGCTTTATGTACTTAGAAATGGTTTAAGAACAGTTTGTTAAAAATGGGGAAGTCACCTAAGGGTGCTCACTCTGTCCTTAAGTAATGAAGTCTTTAGTGTTTTACTCAAATGTTGACTGCACAAATGAAAGTCGTAACGACCTTTACACTATGGCTATGGAATAAAGTTCCCAACAGAGTCAAGAAGTCCAGGGATGCCACTTTCCATGAGCCCTGGCCACTGAGAGGAGAATCGTGTGTGGAATTTATGGTTTCCACCACGTTGATGCTGTGAAGCATGTTACATCCTGGGTAGCTTCCTGTTTGCTCCTCCTCCTCTTTGTCCTTGTGCTGTGCCAGTCATCCAGCTTCCGACAACTCCATCTGAAGCAGGCTGGTGTCTTGCAACCCTCCCTGACTCCACTCTGGACTGGATGTTCCTAGTTTGCTGCAAGGAGGGCACCCTGTGATTTACTCTCTTGGGTTCACTCTCATTTTCGATTCACAATCATTTGTAAAGGTGAAAACACCTTAAAACAGCAGGAGGCTCTTAGGTGACTTCCCCATTTTTAACAAAATGTTCTTAAACCATTTCTAAGTACATAAAACTGGTATCGAATACCTTCACAATATTATCTCCACCATCCATCTCCATGACTCTTCTCATTCTGTGAAACTGAAGGCCCCCACTCTAATTAAGCAGCTCTCATCGCCCTGCAGCGAGCGTCCAGAAGCTCCCATTCTACTTCCCATCTCTGAGTCTGGCTCCTCTGAATAGCTCATGTAACTGGAACCACACTAGTCCTTTTGAGTCTGGTTTAGTTTATCAGCACAATAGCCAGCCTACCAAAGGACAAGAGCTGCTTGCACACTTGAGCTCCTGTGAATGACAAACAACTATTACAAACATCAGCACACACACACACCTTCTAATCACTCTGCTTTCCATTCTCTGGGGCCACTACCCAAGGGTGAACACACAGTAACAGGTCTATTCTTACCACCAACAAAGCATTTTTCCAAGGCATCCACTGGGCAGCATGGTCCCTGTACCCCAGAGTACAGTGTGCAGGAGAGCACATAGTCAGACAGCACCAAGACCTCTGGGATTCACCTACCAGACTTGAAGATGTGGATCAGACACATCAGCAGTGTGCCTAATTCTTGACAATAGAAAGTGTGCTGCTGTTCACTCATTTCCACTTTGGGCTGTTTTGTAACGATGTCCTCTAAGAGAATACCAACCAGTTGTAACAGAAACCTTCAGAGAAAGGGAAAAGGAGGACAGTGAATCAGGTGACTATCCACGGTGCACTCAAGCCAAATACATGAAATAATACAATAATGCAGGTGAAGTAAAGATGCAGGTACAGTACCCTGAACAAAGCACACATGAAAAGTTTAATATCACTGCTGCAGATTAAGTCACTCTGCCTCTCCGCAGACCACCTTCCTCACTTATAAAATGGCAGTGATCATACCATTTTCAAAGGACTGTCAGGATAAAATGATGTATTTTTTGAAACCTTTCTAAACTATCAAGTGCTACCAAATTAAAGCTCATAATCCATGTCAAGAATAAAATACATCATCTGTTTCATCACTTGCTTCAGTTTAACAGCAGGAGAGCTGCCTGTTGAAGCTGCGAATAAACGGCTGCTGCATAGGTTTCCAGGGGGTGGCCCCCACAAGCAACCCTGGGTGTCTCCACACGTCTCCGCCTCTGGAGACACAGGAGGCAAGGAGGAGACATCTGCAGGGGCAACTGGACTTAGTGAGCACTCTGAGTGAGGGGGGATGCTCGTCCACACATCAGCGCGAACAGCCACCGGAACTGTGCCCACTGCCCCAGAGGAGGGAAAGCAGGACCACACTGCAGGAACACAGTGGTGTGGTCCCACGCAGGGTGAGTCCCCATTCCCGAGAGCGAGAACTGCAGCACACAGTGAGACTAAACACAAGACCAACTTGAGGAGTTTCCTTAGGTTATTAATTTTTCTGCAGACAATGCATCCCCTACTACCTAAGCTCCTCTGTGTGGCCACTGCTGCAGAGTTGCTAAAGAGCACAAAGACAACACGACAAAACCTTAAGTGATGTGCAAAGCAAGGGCCACACCAAGGCAAACTGGATTCCAAACACAGACACACTGCTGGATAGGGATCCAGCTCACAGAGCACAGGACATTAGCAACTTTTCCAGACGTACTGATCATGAGGCAGAAGCACATGGCTTCCCAGAGGACAAGGGTCACGCACAGGTTCAGAAAGAGAGCATACCTTGAGAATGTTTCTTCTGGCAAATGTTTCATTTGCTTCCCTTCACTGTGTTCCTCTGGTGTTGAAGTACTGTCCCCATCTCTTAATCTGTTAATCACTGGGCAGGAGATTAGAAATGGAGAGAAGGAGAGCTCCTGAATACGAGAAAGAACAATATCTTCTGTTGACTGGGAAATCAGAACTCTCAGAATGGCCAGGATTCCAGATATCCAAAGTTGGACAGTGCTCACAGCTGCCTAAAAGAGAGGATAAATAAACTGTAGCTAGAGAAAGAAAGAGCAAAGAAAAGATTTCCCTGATTGCCCATTTCATGAAAGAAAATCACCCTGTTTTTACTCCATCAACAAATCCCCACCCCACTGGTTCTCCCATCATGGTCCCAGAGCAGCCATACCAGTGTCAGCCAGGACCTGGCAAAGATGGAAATCAAGCTCTGCCCCCCTGCCCACAGCAGGCCTGTGCTTGGCCCTGCCCTGCAGGTGGATAAGGCAACTTACCATTGTGCTTGGAGTGACAAACATGCTGCGCAGAAGCATGTCCACAGGGCGAAGGGAGGAAGGGGCCAAAATCTCAAATACAGTATTTAACACCCCAAGGGCTTCATGAGAGTCGATGTGCATCTGTGGAATTAAACAGCATGGACATTTCCACGTAAGCCGACAGAGACGCAGCTCCGCGTGCATCAGGTCCTGGCTCTCCAGGGCACGTCTTCCTCATCATCTGCCATCACCACCCTTCTATCACAGCACTGGAAGATCAGCAGGGAAGCAAGCACGCTCTCAGGACAGCACTGTGTTTTCCTCCACGCTAAAAACATTACTTAGATTTTCTAGGTAAGTGATATCTGCTTCCTGTAAAGGGACCAAGTGTACAAAAGCATGAAAAGAGCCACCTGGAACCCACCACCCAGATGCGACTGGCCTTGGCGTTTGTGAACCAGGCTCCTGTGCATCCCTTCACAGAGGGGGAAGCTCACGACGTGCTGCTCCTGCTCTCTCCTGGCTCTGCTTGTGCCCTGCCCTACTCTGCCAGCCGGTAACATGCTGACACATGCTGGGTAGCCGCCGCCCCCAACTTTTAAAATTTTTGTAGTTGGACACAATGTCTTTATTTTATTTTTATGTGGTGCTGAGGATCAAACCCAGTGCCTTGCTGAGCCACAGCCCAGCCCCATGGCATCTTAACTTATGCCATGCTCCTGAACCAAACAGCTGCCCACTGGGGAGGTGGCTGTTTGCTCTGAGAAACCATGACAAGCATGTGTCTGTTTTGCTCACTCTACAATACAACGAAGAACACCCAAGGCAACGGCTTATAAAAACCAACACTTTAATTGTTTTTAAAGTTTTTAGAAAATTTTCAGTTGTGGATGGACACCATACCTTTATTTATTTATTTATTTTTAGATGGTGCTAAGGATCAAACCCAGGGCCTCACATGTGCGAGGCAAGCACTCTACCACTGAGCCACAACCCCAGCCCCTAACATCACTTTTAATGGATGCAAAATGCTCCAATCAAGTCTGTGCCACAACTTATTCAATCAGGCCCTTCTGCTGGACTCTGCTTCCCATTTTTATTAGTACTAAGGTGTACACACCTCAACAACTGCAAAGAGATGGGGTACTTGACTCCTGTAGCACTGAGCCACATTCTAGGATAAGGAAACTGAAGAACTTCTGAGCTCCACACCTATCCAAGTCTCGGCCTGCGCAGGTGCCACCACCTCTGCCTGCCCTCTCATTACTCTGTAAGGGCACCCCACACCCACAGCAAAAGACTACCTGCCACTTACAGAGCTGAGCCTGACCCTGCCTTCCACTGAAGGACACTATGATGGCAACTTTCCGTCTGTCCCCCACATGACTTCTCTATTTGCTTGTTTCTGTGAACACCATCTCCCACTGACCCCTCTCCTCCTGTGGTGCTACACCACTTTCGGTTCCCTCTTTCAAATGTCTTTCCAATTTCTTTCTTCCTTCTTTTCAGAACAGACTCCTGTCACAATTTGGCTCTAACCACTCCTCCAAGATTGCTTGCCAGTGCCCTTGGTGCTGCCATCCCAGCTGAGTTCTCAGGGCACCCACAGCTGACCCCTGCCTCCCCCATGAAATGCTCCCCACCCCCGCCTCCGTGAAATGCTTTTTTAAACCTGGCTTTATTAACACCACACCTGCATGCCTCCCCACCTGGCAGTGGCTGACCCTTCCTGTCCCCCAACAGCATCTCCACACATCCCTGACCTCTGAGCTAGACTCAGTGGTCTGGGCACTGGGGCATCTCCGCCCCTCCACCTGGGCTCAGTCCACTGTGACCTCAGGCAGTCTCAGATGTTACCGACTGGATTTCTCTCAACAGCTCTAGACTCGCTTTCAAACAACACTCTCACCCCACCAGGTGCCCAGCAGGTGCTACCGCTGACCACTTCCATGCAAGGTTCTGATCTCCCAGAGCCACTGTCCCCTCTCTGTCTCACCTGTGGTAGCACCTTGCTGCCCTGAAACCTTTCTTCCACAAGTCCCAGGGACAAGCCACAAGCACACCCTGCTGGTTCTACTTGCACACTCTGAGCATAGGTACCACTGCACTAAGAGGCCTCACACGAGCCTCCTGCTCAGCTCTCATCTCCCCTTGAGTCTAATCTGGGCAAACTCAAATCACCACACTGCTCCTTTGTACCAAGCCCTCTAAAGGGTTCCCAAAGTCTACTACACTGGCCTTCCCACCAGGCCCTGCTGCCCGTCCTTCTTCCTGTGGCTGCTCCAGCAGGCCAGCCTGCTGTACCCTAACAGGCATGTTCCCACCTCAGGGCTTTGCACTGCTGTGTGCTCTGTTTAAAACACTCCCTCCCAGGCCTCTGCTAGAATCACCCCTTCCTTCCTGCACGTGTACTCAAACATCCCCTGGTAAGCTTTCCCACGTAACTTGTTCACTGATGTACCTACTGAAGGTGTCTGACCTGCAATATTGCCCAGCAAGACTTCTGAATGCAGCTGCACTTGTGCAAGCTACCCACAGGTAGTGTCAGTGTCACAGAAAGCAGAAGAGAAACCAGGGATTGACTATGCACTCAGGCCTTCTATTTCGGTCTTCCTCAAACTGTGCACACAGGTAAGAGAATGGGACAGAGCAACCAGAGCAGTGCTCGGAAAGGATCTACATATGGGCTTGGAGTCCCTCACCACTCTAACCTGTCTGCTGATCCCACCAGAAGCCAAGACTCTTACAGAAGCCAAGAGTCCTCCTCCTACTGCCCAACTGATCTTGGAATAACAGGCCCATCAAGAAATCAGAATGAGGTAAAGTTAGGAAGATAGTAACTATCCATGGAGTCAGCCTGTTTTTAATCAAATGCCCAAACTATGAGCAGCTACTTGCTACTCAAGAGCACTTGCTCAGTGTGGATGAACAAAGTGACGAACACCCATCTGCTGACCCCACTCAAAACTCAGTGTGAGCAGAGTGTGGTGGTGCACACCTGTAGTCCCAGCTACTCAGAAGACTGGGTAGGAGGATTGCAAGTTCAAGGCCAGCTTCAGCAACTCAGCAAGACCCTGTCTCAAAATAAAAAATAAAAAATGCTGGGGATGGAGTTCACCTGAAGAGCAAGCCTGGGTTCAGTCCCTAGTGCCACAAAACAAAACCAGAGCCCAAATCGCAGGCCAGTGCTCTGCCAGGCAGCTATGGGACCTTCTGGTGGGATGATCCGCAGCAGTCCCTGCAGCCCTCCCCCGGTCACAAAGGTGCTGCTGCAAGGGGTACAAGGCTCACTGTGCCTGGACACCAAGGGCTGTGGGCTCCACCTGACATGGCACACCAGACCCTTCCTTTCACTGCACTTGTGCAAACAACCAGTCACACCATTTGACCGCAGGAATTCTGACTAAATGATGGATAACCACATTACTTTATAAGAGATAAAGTGGTAATCCCAAAAAGCTAAAGAACAAACAAAGGAGACAGTATTTAAAAACAAACAAACAAACAAACAAAAATCAGAAAAAGAAACCTAGCTTTGGTCAGACCTGTCCCAAGTCCAGCCCCAGCACTTTTAGCTGTGTGATGTTGGAAAGTCTCAACAACCCCTCTGAGCCCTGGTTTCCCCACTTATAAAGTGGGTAGTCAATCACAACCCGAGAGGGTCACTGTGGAAAGAAGTCATGCCCTGTGAAAAGCACTGACGACTCTACCAGAGCATGACTCCACCACGATCTGAGGGGAAGCCGATCCCATCCAACCCCCTTCCACAAGGATCTCAGTCTACTTCACACAGGAGGAGAGCGCTGCGCAGCAGCAAGCTGGGTAGTGGTGACTGACCTGCTGCTTGGCCAACATGGGCAGGATGATGTCCGCCACCTGCCGTGACAGCCGTTTCCACTTGTCCTCGTTCTCCTTGTGGCACTGCTGCAGGACAAGGATGAACATCTCCAGCACCTGGAAGAGCGTGCGCGGTCAGCAAGCCTCACAGCTCGGCACCTTATTTTTACTTGTTCATCCCCCACCTGGTACTGGTTTAGCTGGACAAGTCCAGGATCCAAGTAGATGGGTCCTTGATTAAGGATTGAGGAAGCAGGCACATCCTTGCCTGTGACATGTGGATGTGAGGGAACCAGAAGAAAACGCAAGGGGAGACTCAGCAGGTCCCTTCAGGGTGTGTGTGTCACCTGCTGCATGGGTGACTCACAGGAGGTCTTATTTGTATGGAATTTACAAGAGTACACACTCAGAGAAAAGGAACAAAATGGAACAACAAACTTGTATCAGCCTATGGGAAAATTCAAACACGGCCTGACCCAGCTTGCTCTGCAGGCGCCCCTACTTGTCTACACATCGAATCCACTCTGGGTTCTGCACAAGGTGATCCGTGCGTGACACCCACCTCCAAGAGTCACGGAGGGCTGAGTGAGAGTCTCCACACAGAGAACAGGGTTCGTTCTGGACAGAGACACTGACTGGTGAAGGTCTGTGATAGGTGGCCCATCCCTGTCTGTGGAATGAGTTCTTCTGGGTACAGCCCTGGCGTTCGCGTACAGGAAGCTGTGACAGCAGAGCTGAGGAGCTGCAGCGGACCACCTGGGCCACCACGCCCACCAAGTTACTACCTGGTGCTCCCCACCAAATACGCAACCCCTGGGCGACACTTCAAGGCTGCTAGACAGACACAGCCACCTCAGGGACATCCCTGTAAAGCCCTCCCGACCAACCATCTCCACAGCTGCCTTCTCAGGACAGCACATACGTCACCAGAACCTAACCCCTTCATGCCAGAGTGTGCTCAGTCTCTTGTGAGGCGTGCAGATGGTAAGCCCCTCTAGCGCACAGCTGCACTGCTGTGCTGGCCTAGGCCAGCTGCTTGCTCTAACGCCACCCTGCAGTGTTCTCCCTTCTTATCACAGTCATGGGACTTAGCTAAGCAGGAAGTATTTTGATATCACACACAGTGATCAACACGAGTGTCCAGGGCTGGGGCTGCAGCTCAGCAGCAGAGCGCTCGCCCAGCATATGCAAGGCTCTGGGTTTGATTCTCAGCACCACATAGAAATAAACAAATAAAATAAAGACATACTGTCCATCTACAACTACCAAAAAAAAAAAAAAAAGCTGATTTTTATTTGTACTTGGGCTGCCTAGAAGTGTCTTGAAATTCTTCCTCTACCTTAAAGAAGACCAAAACCAGAAAATCAGTTCAATGTAAAAGACTCTCACGGGCCCGGGTTGTGGCTCAGTGGTAGAGTGCTTGCCTAGCATGCATGAGGCGCTGGGTTCAAACCCTGGATCCACATAAAAATAACAAATAAAATAAAGGTATTGTGAAAAAAAAAAAAAAGAAAGAAAAAGATTCTTACCAGTCAAACAGCAGTATATAAAAGAAGGAAAGTCTTCAAATAATTTCAGATTTGAGATTTATATCATTTCATAGAATTCTTTCTACCATCGTGATCAAGACCGTCCTGGTAAAGACACAGCCAGCCCATCCCATCTCCATCACTGGCTTCTCCCCAGGCCCAGAGAGCCCAAAGCTGGTAGGTCAACACATGCAGGACCCCACGGCACTTCCTTTCGTGTCCCCCACTCTCCCTGCACATTCCCCTTACCTGGTGGTACTGGATGAGTCTCAACAGCATTGACACCACCACCTCCTTCTGAGTTTCAAGCTCTTTCCCAGCATCAGCTTTATTTGTTCCTCTCAACACAAAGAGGTCGTGGACTATGGGTTGCAGAGCTGGGATGGCTGTGGGCACAGAAGAGCATGCTAATAAAGCCTCCGGAGAACACTGCATTTGGTAGACAGGTCTAAACACCTCCAAAACAGTTTTGAGATATAATTAAAACCCTAGCCTGTACTTAGTTTGTGATAGGAGATGAATTAAGCCCTGGTTTCATCAGTGAGTTGTGAAATTATTATTCTACCACTGAGGGAGACCAAGGCTCTTTCTCTGAACACTGACAGTTTTGTGAAAGCTTCTGAAAAGAAAGAAAAAAAAAAGGGGGGGGGTTCCTTTAATATAACATCATTTCTGACAAAAGAGAGCTTAAATTGAAAAGTCATTTGGAAGCAGTGGCGTGCACCTGTTATGTCAGCTACTCAGGAGGCTGAGGCAGGAAGATTTCAAGTGCGAAGCCAGCCTCAGTAATTCAGCAAGACCCTGTCTCAAAATAGAAAGCACTAAAGCTCAGCAGCAGAGCACCCATGGTTCAACCTCCAGTACCAAAAAAATAAAAGAGCTTTCCCAATAACCAAACTAGTAATAGCCTTGGTCTCCTGTATAATCTAGTTGATTTGCCTACAAAGATAATTAATACTTTTCCTACAGAATTGTCACAGTATCAGATGATGAGATCTTCTATGTAAACTATCTCATTAGATAAAAATTTTGTTCCCTAGTTATCTTGGGCTGAAAAAGGAACCAAACTAAATTGATTATTCTATAGGAAAAAAATAAAGTAATTTATTGTAATTGGCACACAGTACACTCTTAGTGACATGCGCACACACACACACCCCCCAAAGACATGCACACATGGACACACTTACTGACTTCCTCCAGGGAAACAAGCATCCCTGTACAAAGTACAGGTTTAAGCTGCCTACTGACTCTGATTCTCTGCCCAAAGACCCTCCAAGTCCAAGAAACTAAGAAAATATTAGTTCCCTATATCTGACATTTGAATGTTCAACTAAACCCAGTGACCCAAATGCCATGCCTTTAATAATCTGTGTTTTGCTGAGACTTGAATTGAAACCTTTGAGAGGCCATGTCCCAGCCCTTTGGATTAATGTGGAGCCTGAGAAGGCAGCCCAGATCTGCCTCTCAGCACCGCTTGTCTGCACTCTCCTGCAGATGCTGCAGGGAGAGAATACTGGATGTGGTAACAGTATTTTGCATCTAGTGGTCTGCAAGCATCCTTAAATATATCCCATCAAAGGTCAAAAACCTACAGAGGGCTGCGGGTATGACTCAGTGATAAAGCACTTGCTTGCATGTGTGAGGCAGTGGGTTCGATCCTCAGCACCACATTAAAAAAAAAAAAAAAGTATTTTGTCCAATTACAATTTTAAAAATATGTAAAAAAATTTTGTTTTATATGGATAAACAGGAGCATTTACATTCAGACTGTTTTATGATCTTACTATTTCTCATGTTTACCCAACAAGTATATTCTGGACTCCTAAGACTCAAGAATGTACCCGCTCCTCTGTGAGCACTTGTCACCTGCACACGCATGTACACACCGCCCACAAGCGCTCAAACACAGGGCCCATGCAGCAGAGCTGGCATTCACACAGCTCCAAGTGGTGGAAGAAGACTAACACTGTCGGGCATGTCACGACACTTGAAGACAGGGAAAGGTGTGGCCTGTTACCATGTGTCACAGCCTTCCTGCCACTGGCCATGATGCCATCACAGAGTTGAATGATTTTAGGAATTCCAATGATCTGTTTTGAATGATAGCGTTCGTAAGACAGTAACACCAGGAAGAAAAAGATGTTTGGAATAATTGCCTCTGATTCCCTGGAAACAAAAACATCCATTTAGACATTTCTTAGCAAAATTAAGATACATGATCAATATAAACAATACAAAATAACTCAAGATTCAGCCTTGAGAGACAAGGCACACACTGAGCTAAACAGCCTCCGCAACCTTGTTGATCCTTCCCATGCACAGAGAGCTTGATGGCCAGGAGGGTGAAGCAGGAGCAGGTAGAGGGCACCTGGCAGCATGGATGACCTGGTTCTCCACCTGCCCCTTCACTCGTGAAGCACCTCAGACTTGAAGGAGGAAAAGTATTCTGCCCAAAACCATAGTCAAGGTATCACATCATAAGGACAAGACGTGGGGCTCCAGACCTCAGTGACTCTTGGAACACTCTCCTTCAACATTTTATTCAAAAGTCTACTTAAGAAGTGCTCCAGAAACTAAAGAGCTTTATTTTTCAGTGCTCATGCCCACAAACCTTAACAGGCATGGCAGGTGTGATACAGCCTAATGCCTGGAGCAGGAAAGCTGCAGCCACTGGAAGGAGCACGCGTCCTGACACGCAGTACGACTGCCCCAGAGATGCTGGTCTACGGTTAGAAAAGACGGGCTCCGTCAGTCAGAAATGAGCAACTGTCGCCATCAGCAAACCCTTGAAATGTGAAACGAAACCAATAGCATGTGTGACGACCAGGTGCAGAACTTCTAGCAGTCATGAGAAGGTCTGTCTTAAGTCTTAAGAGAAATGAAAACGCACTGCATGTTGCTCAGACAAAGCCCAGCAGGATGTCTAACAGCACTGCAGCCCACACAGCCAGGACAGGACTCTAAATGACAACATGCTCCTTACCTGAACTGGCCCACTTCAATGTACTCAAACTGCTTCAGGACAAATCCAATGAACACCTAAGGGCAGGAACACAAGCTTCACATCAATAACAGGATTAATATAGAAAACCATGTTATCTGTATAAATTCTGATGAGGCTGGAGCTGTGGCGCGGTGGTAGCGCACTTGCCTGGAATGTGTGAGCACCACATATAAATAAATTTTAAAAAAAAATAAAGGTCTATCAACAACTAAAAAAATTTTTTTGAACAAGTTTCCTGACAGCAGACAAACCTGTTCATAACTACAGAACATTTCCAGGAATCCCTTCAGAGACAAGCTCACTGAACGAGCCAAACCTCACTGGGAAAACAAATGATGAATTCCAAGGCGATGCCAACTTTACCCTAAATCACATCAGAGGACTGTGTGCTCCAGTGAATGGCAAACCCAGCAAGCAAAAGGGGTTCCCTGTAATATAATGCCCCAAATCTTCCTCTTACCCGTGCTCAATGAAGTCTAGTGCCGAGCCCCAAGAGGGCAGCCCACCTGAAGAGCAGAGGTGGCGTGGGTGTCCCAGCTCTTCCGCCCTGACAGGAAGCTCCCACAGACAAGGCAGGACTCTCTGTCCTCAGAGCCCTGGACAGACACTCAGCAGCTGCTCAAGGAATCACTAAGAACTAGATTTCACAACCTTGTTCTTGTTCATGAAACTGTTCCTGTACTGAGACCTAAGTGCCGGAGCAAAGGCGCTATGTGACCAAAGCCAACAGAACAAATGGGAGTCCAGAGCTGGGGGGAGAGAAAGGCAGAACTCCACCAGGGGAGGGTGGCTGACAAAGAGCTCTACTGGCATGGGGCAGTGGCGGGAGCACAGGTGAAGCGCTAAGGCGACATCAGCGTACGTGCAGAGCATGGTGCTGAGAATCTGTAGGCTGTCCCTTCTCAGTGTTTAGGTATCAGAGGAAGATTTTAGGGTGACAGAAGAGAGTGACAAAAATCACTCTATTTTGAAAAGAGGATCCATATAGAATGACTACAGAAAAAAATCTGACAAGGCCGCAAAGTCCTCTGCCCAACAAGTCTGTGAAGAGGGGAGTTGTTTACTTCTTGTCTACTGAAGATAGCCCCCAAAGAAGCCGCAGTCCATAACTGACACATGAGAACTAAGCTTCCACCTCTGCCCAGTCAGAAATGGGAAATCAGAAGGGAAGCATCAATGGCAGTCTTAGACATGCTCCGAGCAGAACACACCAAAGTGGTGCCCTGGCTTCCCTCCTCCCTGCCCTTTCGACACCTGCCGCCATCCCTACCTCCCCGGTCCCCACTTCTCCCCACACATCCTCAGTGTCAGAGGAAACTAAGTGAGGAAATGAATGAAGCTCCCCAAAGGGAATGTCTGGTGGGCCAATTTTCTCCAGGTAGCTTTCATCAAAGAAGAAGCATAAAAGCCATGCTCCAGCCTGACTCCTCTCATTAGAAACTAGCCTGGCCCAATTAGGCGTGTCCTCGCTTCTCCCAGGAGCAGATCCATAAGGTGAATGGAGCAGAGAACAAGATCTAAAGATACCTATGTCTAAAAGGAAATGGTGAACTATGATGATTCTACCTCAAAACATTTCCTGCCTCGCATAGGCAAGCAGGGCCCTACAACAACAAATCGTGATGACCTAAAGGTAATTAAACCTTAATGAAGGCACTGGCACGAGCCTTGCTTGGAAAGAGTCTGGATCATGCATCACCAAGGAACACAACTAGCCTGAGATTCATGCCCACAGAGCAGCTGCAGGCCACACAGCCCCCTTGGAGGATCCAGGCACAGGTCTCAGCTATTAGCCTGGGCAGATTATGTTCCTTTCTAAGGGGACAAGCCAACTTTTTATATTGCTTAAAACTGCAGACGATAATTGATAATTTACTTTTAAAAAGCCTCTGAAGGGCTGAGGTTGTGGCTCAGTGGTGGTACAGCAAGTGTGTGGCACCAGTTTCAATTCTCAGCACCACATAAAAATAAATAAAATAAAGGTATTATGTCCATCTACAACTAAAAAACTACACCTGCATTTAAAAAGAAAAGTCTCTGGATTTTGCAAAACTGCTCACCAAAACAATGAATCTTCATTATATCTTGTAACTGAAATTCAGGGCTATTTTGGACAGAAGGAGAGAAGGCAAATGGATGGGGAAACCTCTGGCAGATTTTTAAAGGCTAATCCTACTAGAGCTCAATGTAGACTTGGGGCAGTTGGGGCTTGTTCCCATTCTTGCTTGGCCTACCAGGGCCCAGGCCTTCTGCCTCTGGATCCATGAAATAGTCAGGAGGCAGCAAGCAACTAGTGTTGGGGGTGGAATCAAACCTCACTTTTCCCTAAGATAGATAGATGCTAGCATCTTTCTAGGGTAACCTTTATTCAGGTAGATCTGTATAGAGGACAAGAGACAAAAGCCACAAACCTGATCCGAATCCAGAAGACAATAATTGACCCGGAGCTGAACCAGCTGTGCCAACAAATCCAAAACCTGCCTCTGTAATTGCACAGATGTCGTTGTGGTGTATTGCTTCAAAGCTTTAATAACAAGAGGCTCGAAGAGACGAATGTGGTTGTGAATGGCATTCTGTAAGAAAAGAAAATCCAGTGAGCTTCAGCCAGAACCTCTGGACGGTGAACCTGGGTGTTGTTTCTAGCACCAGAGCACCCTGTGTTCACGGGAGGGGTCCACGGCCTGTCACCAGCTATGGCACCATTTACCTTATCTGCTCGGTTCTTCGTGACGCTTGTGAGGTTTGTCTTCAATTGAGTGGACACTTTCTGGAGTACATCAAACCATCTGCCAAATGGGAGAAGAGGGAAGCAAGGAATGCACTTCACTAAAAACCAGTTTCAACTGGGCAAAATGCCAACATGTCATAGTGTGGAGAACCAAGTGGCCACTCCATGCAGCAACAGCAAGGGTTGCAGAGAGTGAGACTCAAGTCAGAGTCACAGCTGCCCGGCAGCCACGAGGTGCCACCTGAAGGCCTTCTGCTCCAGGAAACCCACACTCAGCCCAAACTCCAGGAGGACCTGAGAGAGGTGACCAGTGATTTAGAAGACAACACTTGACTTTCTTGGGAGGAATCTTTATAATATTTACACTGATTATATTATTTTCTTTTAAAGAAATATATCTGAAATTGAGACAGTAACAGTACCAGCCGCGGTGGTACACTGTAATCCCAGCTACTCAGAGGGCTGAGGCAGGAGGACCCCTTGAGCCTAGGAGGCCAGGACCAGCCTCAGCAATGCAGCAACCCTCCATCTCAAAAACAAAACAACAGCAACACGTGCACCTGGCCACATATTCACTCACTTACTTACATCCCACATGATTACATAAAGCACTTAAATAGAGTATTTTAGTCATGACTGTGTGATCACTACATTTATCAAATAAAAATTAAGGATTCTATTTTTGGTACTATTCAAGAGTAGCAACTCAAATACTGGCTGATAATTATGGTAACTTAAGAAATACCGGGGGCTGAGGATGTAGCTCTGTGGCAGAATGCATGCCTAGCATGTACAAGGGCCTGGGTCCAATCTGTAGCACAGCTTAAAAAAAAAGAAATACCTTCTGTATTCTAGGCATTGAAAAGACAAGGGTAAATTTAAGTGAAATAAGATTTTCAACCAGAAAGCTTACATTATGGTTTCAATATGAGGTGTCCCCCAAAAGCTCACATGTGAGATAATGCAAAAAGTTTAGAGGTGAAATGATCAGGTTATAAGAGTCTTAACCTAATCGGTGCATTAATCCCCTGATATGTACTGACTGTAGGCAGGTTCTGTGTGGCCGAAGGAGGCGGGTCACTTTTGGGGCTTTTATTTTGTCCAAGGTGAGGAGAGGTCCCTCTCTGCTTCATGGTAGTGATGTCCTGAGCTGTGTTCCTCTACCAGGATGTTCTGCCTCACGTCAGGCCCCAAAGAATGGAGTCAGCCATCTATGCACTGAGACCTCTGAAACTGGGAGCCCCCAAACGAACTTTTCCTCCTTTAAAATTGTTCTCAACAGGTCTTTTGGTCACAGCAACAAAAAAAGCTAAAACAGTTTATAAAACACAAAAGTAACATATTTGAAACTTTTCTATGACCATTAAACACCTCTGAGTACCAACACCACTGAGCCATGCTAAATGGTCTCTCACTCAAACTGGCAAAGTGCTACCACACACATCACACTCGTGCAAAGGAAAACATCACATAACTTATGAGTCTAGAAAACAGAACGAGCTTTCTTGAGTGAAGACAAGGTATGTCCCAATCTGGTCTGAGCACCACTGGAATGCTGAGCTGGTGCTTCCCAGACACCTGCTCAGGCTCCTGCTTCCCAGCCTTGGGCTAGGCCAGGCGCTGCTTTGCAGAGAAAGATGACTCATCTGTGCATCGACATACTTTCTAGACTTTTTGGAACACAGTGAACAGTGAGGAGACACTGGCTTACTTACTTTTATTTTTAAATGCCTATTCAAAAGTATTCATTGCTTATCTTTTGTGTTTCTACCAGTGACAGATTCCCACCAGGACTTACCCCGAGGTGTCATGCTCCTGCTCTGCCTGCACCATGTTCCTCAGGCTGGCGTCTGCCAAGGCCTGCGTGAAGTGGGTGTAGGGAGCCATGAAGCAGTAATGATACAAGCCTGGCCTCATGCTGGAGGAGCCAAGACGCTGTGCTCGGCCTTGAGATTTGCTGGGGTTAGAGGAGAAGCCATCAAATTGGGAAGCTAGGTTTGTTCCAAAGAGAGTCTTCAGCAGCTGGAGTGAAAAAAACGAAGCATTGACACTTGACACAATCCAGAATGAGCAACACGTTAAAACTCTTCCTCGCAAGCAGCAAATCCAACAAAAACTCTGAAATTCAGTACCTTGGGAGACCACCGCCGAGCAGTGCTGCCGGCACCTAAGCATTGGGAATTCCCTGTGCTCCAAGACTGGGCATTCTGAACAGAAACCCACAGGGACAAGGGCAAGCGTAAGACAGCAAGGGATCCAGCACAGCTCAAAGTCCTCCATTCCCCACAGTGACTCACATCTTCCTAAGGAGGGAGGAGGATGCCCTCCTGGCCCACCATAAGCAAGCAAAAGAGTGACAGCTCAGACCACCCAGCCCTTCCTGCTGATCATGCCACCTGCACCAGCTTCTAAGGAAGAAGTAGTATTTGGTCACAGGGCCTGAAGGGCCACTGAGAAAGACAGGAAATGACACTCTCACCTGCTGAACACAAACAGTCGCCATTGTGGGTTCTCGGCTAAAGCAGGACTTCAGGTATCCAAGGATCTCTTCCACACACTGGAAAGAGCAGGTAAAGAATAAGTGACTTGCAGACAGAAACCAAAGACACACACAGCTGCCATTTAAACTGTGTCAACACAAGAGGAAAATCAGTGGGAAGTTTTCAGTTTATCACCTTGAACAGTCAAAAGTCCTGAAATCTAAGTAGAAACATGAAAATCAATCTTTCACACACGTATATATCCATCCATTCATCTGTGTTCAATGAACAGACATGGAGTATCTGCTGTCCACTCTGCATCCAGGGTTGGAATTCAGAAGAGTGCAAAGGAGTTGAAGCCCTAAATCTGCAGAGCGCCTGGATGTATTTGGCTGAATATAGCACCTTGGAGCACACTGCTACGTGATTTACTACAAATAAGATCTCAAAGTATCTCATGGCAATTGGCCAAAATAACTAAAATGACTGATTATATATACTTTTTTTTTTTTTTTTAAAGAAGGAACGGAGTGTTGTCATCTTTCTCACAAGCTACTCTACCATCAAAAACGAGGCCTAAGGTACTAATCCTCCTGAAGAATCAAGAGGGCGGAGGAGAATGACTCTAAGAACACCATGGATCCAGACTTGCAGTTCCAAAAAATAGCATGCTTCCTGGCTGCCCAATCAGCCTCGAGCCACAATTCCTGTCAGCTGCTATCAATCAGCACCAAGCAGGCGGGAGTGCCTCTCTGCATTTATGAGACAGAACTTTCTGTATTAAGAAGCAACAGAGTGGGCTGGGGTTGTAGCTCAGCAGTAGAGCACTCATCTAGTACCTGTGAGGCACTGGGTTTGATCCTCAGCACCACATAAAAATAAATAAATAAAATAAAGGTA